AAGAGGATCTCTAGACTGGGGCCAGCTTGGGTTACGTAGGAGACTCTGCCTTTCAGTACAGCAGCGGCACGTGTGAATCTGGCGTTTTTATTTTGTCGTTTCTCTCCTGTGGTGCTGTGGTCAAGGCAGAGCCTCACAGATGCCCTGCTCTGCATGGAGCTCTATCTCCAGCTTTTCTTCCCACTTAAGCTGGGCGTGGTTATGTGCTTGCCCGTGACCCCAGGGTGTGTGAGGGATGGAGACAGGCTTGTTGGGCTGCTAGCCACCACCAGCCTAGCTAGGTTCAGTGTGATGTCTGTCCCAAGGGGATAAGGCTGAGAGTGAGAAAGCAGGACCCCTGACCTTCTCTGGCCTGTTTCCAGAAGTGCACACCCTCCTCTAGGACACACACATCTCATACACACACATGTGCACAAAAAACATTAAGAGAAGAAAACTCCACAGACAAAAGATGTACTTTTTGAGCTAGGCAAAGTGGCACACACTTGTAATCCCAGCACTCTGGAAATGAAGGTAGGAAGATCTCTAGATAAAGGCCAGCCTAGGTTACATAATAAACACTCTTAAAAACAAATCAAAAATTCCTGTAACTTCAGCTCCAGGGGATCTCACATCCTCTTTTGGTGTCTGAGGGTTCCAGGTGTACATCTGTTGCACATATGTATAGAATAAATAAATATTTTTTTAATGTAGACAAACAAAAAGATTGAGTATTTAAATTCTTCAGTACCATCCCCTTTCTCCAAAGGTGGTGGTGTTGTTGTTTTGGGGTAGGTTTTTTGTTTGTTTGTTTTCTGAAACAGAGTCTCACTGTCTAACCTTGGCTGGCCTGGAACTACAGACGTGGAGGTCAAGGCCAGCCCTCTGAGTGCCGAGATTAAAAGTTTGCACCACCACCACCACACTTGACTTATGATTTTTCTTATTTACAAAAAATTTTTATCGTAGAAAGCTTCAAATACATAACAAAGTAAACATATAAGATAATAAGCAACATATACTCAGAACCCTGTTTTGGGGCCCTTAACATGAAATTTATCATTTATACCTCTGCCAGTTTCCCTTCTTACTCTCGATTTTTTTAACTAAAAATAACTATTTTTTATTTTATGTGCATGGATGTTTGCATGCATGTGTGTGTGTGTACCACGTGTTGTGCCTGGCACCGGTGGAGGTCAGAAGAAGGCACTGGATCTCCTGCAACTGGAGTTACAGAAAGTTGTGAGTCACTATGTGGGTGCTGTCAATTAAACCCTGGTCCTCTACAAGAGCAGCCAATGACCTTAACTGTCCTTAACTGCTAAGTCATCCCTCCAGCCCCTTAAGTTCTTCTCTTCCTTTTTTTTTTCTTGTCAATTTTATACATGTATGCAGTGTATTTTGATCATGGTCACCTCCATTTCTCCCCCCACTTCCCTAACTCGCATCCTTTTTTCCCCCCAGTGAGTCTGGATAGTTCTGCCTGTGTGCACTAGAACTGTGGGATCATCTACTAGAGCATGGCCACACCCCCAAATACAAATGTCTTGCCCTCTTTCTGTCTTGCCCTCTTTCAGAGCCGTCAACGTAGCTCTTTGGCCAGCCCTGGGCCTTGTGCACCTCCCCATGTGTGCTGGAATCTTGCCTGACTTGATCTCATCTGAGTCTCATGCTAACCACGGCTGCTGTGGATTTCATGAGGGCAACAGAGATGTCATGTCCAGGAGACAGCATTTCAGAGCACTTCTTTGTGTCTCTTACATGTTTTTCTGCCTCCTGTGATATTTCCTGAGCCTTGGGATGGGGGTTTGTATAAATGTCCTATTTAGTGAGTACAGTCACTGATTCTCAGCCCTTTGATGACCAGTTGTGACTTTCTGTATTGACTATTGCCTGCTGTAAAAAGCTTCAGTGACAAAGGTTGATTGCAGCACAAATCTATGAATATAAATATAATACCTAGAAAGCAGTTTGACTGCATGGCCATTTAGCAGAACAGCATTAGGAGGTTCCCTGAGGGCCTGTGACCGCCTCACTCATAGGCTTCTGACAGACGTACCGTACAGGTGTGACTTCCCTCCTGTGGAGTAGCTGTCAGATCTAGTCAGAAAGCACTTGGTTGCCACCATAGCCTTCATGCCGTCATTCCACCACTGGGCACATCTTCCTGGGTAGGTCCAGGGCGGAGAGGAAGATGACTGATCACTTTTTTCCCCAGCAGCCACATAGCACTTTCCAGCCCCATGAAAGCGAGCCGGGAGCTTCATGACCAGTTCCAGATTGATGTTTCTGTATCGTTCAGTGAAAATGTGTGGTGTCTTCAGCAGCAGGGTCTCATCATCTAGTTATGGGCAGTGAAGAGCAATGTCAATAGCCGGTGTTGTTTTGGGGGCCTCCAGAGACTCCCTGACTAATCACTCTTTAGGGATCCCATGACTGGCACTGCCATTTTAATTTAATGCCCCATGTCTCCTGGGAGCGGTGTGTAGGGTGTCTCTGTTCAAACTCCTTAAATTTTTTCCCCTTTAGTTAGCTTATAGGTAAACCCTTCTTCTAAAGTTGTGTCATTGTACATTTCCACTGCTTCATCTTCTCACCAACATTTTGAGGTCTCGTTCATTTTTTTTTTTTAATATTTTTTTATTGTGTATACGGTGTTCTGCCTGCATATATGCCTTCATGCCAGAAGAGGGCGCCAGATCTCATTACACGTAGTTGTGAGCCACCATGCGGTTGCTGGGAATTGAACTCAGGACCTCTGGAAGGGCAGCCAGGGTTCTTAACCTCTGAGCCATTTCTACAGCCCAGTTCTTGTTCATTTAAATCTTAGTGTTCTAGTGTGTACATATTCTTCAGAGGAAATTGAAATACATTTTATTTTGAGAGTTTTATGATTTGTCTTCAGATAATTGGAAATGCAGTATGTTGGTAGATTCCAAGAACATTTAAAACACAAACTAGAGTGACTGTTCATCAAGATTCAGAGTAATACCCACAATAGCTATGGTTAAAGTTTGTGAGAGAAAATTTTGCTGATTGTTTACATCTATTTTATTATTTTATGGTTTCCAAAGTATTTCTGATGTATTTGTTCTTGATCTGTTATGGGATAGTATCTACAGTGTAGGCCAAGCTGGCCGTGAGCTCACAGACGTGCCTCAGCATCCTGGTAGCTGAGATAGGCATAAGCAGACTTTCTTGTGACTTTTAAGGAATTATAAATGTTGTAGCTGGGTGTGGCAGTGCCTGCCTGTAAGCCCAGCACTTGCAAGGGAAAGATAATGATGTCAGGAACTCAGGGCTATCCTTGACGACATAGGGAGCTCAAGGCCGGTCTGTGGCGTATGGTGAGGCCCTATTTTGTTTTGTTTTATTGTTTTTTTTTTTTTTTGGTTTTTTGAGACAGGGTTTCTCTGTGTAGCTTTGCGCCTCTCCTGGAACTCACTTGGTAGCCCAGGCTGGCCTCGAACTCACAGAGATCCGCCTGGCTCTGCCTCCCGAGTGCTGGGATTAAAGGCGTGCGCCACCACCGCCCGGCCTTTGTTTTATTGTTTTTAAAAAACAAAAACCAAAACCAGGGAGCTGGAGAGACGGCTCAGTAGTTGAAGAGTCTTCCAGAGGAACAGTTTGATTCCCAGCATGCACGTGGCTTCTCATAACAAGCTGTAACTCTAGTTCCAAGGGATCTTATACCCTCTTCTGGCCTTGACAGACACCAAACCTGCAATGCACAGACATACATGTAGTTAAAACACCCATACACATAAAATAAAAAACAAAACAAAGTACGCATCCTGTGAGTTCCAGGCCAGCCTGGTCTACAGAGTGAGATCCAGGTCATCCAGGACTGTCTTGAAAAACCAAAACCAAACAGACAAAACAGCAGAAACAAGCTGTTTAAGTCCTGTAGTGATGTATTGTGTACCCTAATAAAACTTGCCTGAAGATCAGAGGACAGAACAAGCCACTAGATTAAACAAAGAAGCCAGGCAGTGGTGGCTCACACCTTTAATCCTAGCACTCGGGAGGCCGAGATCTGTCTGGATCTCCGAGTTCAAAGCCACCCTGGGCTAGATGAGATGGTTTCAGTCTAGGAGAGAAACAGAGCCAGGCAGTGGTGGCCCATGCCTTTAATCCCAGCATTAGGAAGGTTGAGACAGGAAATGATGACTGGGCAGAGAAAGGTATATAAGGCGTGAGGAGACAGGAACTGAAGACCTTTTCAGGCTGAGGAGCCCTAGAAGTAAGAGGTGGCTGTGGCTTGTTCCTTTGTCTCTCTGATCTTTCAGCATCCACCCCAATATCTGGTTTGGGTTTTTTATTAAAAGACCATTTAGTAATTCATCCTACAAAGTCCTTACCATAGATTAGCTCATGTGTTTATATAAAGTTGCTGTAGTCGCTTTTGAGACCAAATGCATCTCGGAGTGTTGCTTAAACAGTACCCAGTGCTGAGTAGTGAATAAAGAGCGAGCTTTACTTAGTGCACTGTTCCAGGATTGGCCAGTCAGGTATTGGCACCTGCTCTGCTCTGTTTAGGGCTACTTGGTAGGTAGCATCACATGGGGAGTTAGAGAAGGCCCTTGTAAAACACCATGCTGTCGGGAACTGTGCTCCACAGGACTTTGCTTCTCTCTTGGCGTGCAGCCCCCTCAACCTTGTGTTTGATTCATTTTCAACAATTCTGCTGTCTCAGGGTTACCACACTGAGGAGAAAACACACAGCTTTGGGGAGACTGCCCATCGCTAACCATTGGCCCGGACGTCCTAGACTTGCATTTCTCTGAGTCCTGTAACACAGTCTTGGCACGCATGTGCCAGCAGAGGATGTTGTCTGTCATTAAGTACGTTCTTGGTCGGAGGATGTCACAGTAATCGTACTGGTGGTTGGACAAAGTTTCACCAAGTAAATAGTGTTCATGGCTTTTCAAAGACTTTTGTGGTTAATTCTTTTATTAAGTTAGTGAATCTGCTTTTGTACCGTTATCAGATATTAATAGAAGTCGTTTGTTTTATTTTAGTGATGTCCTTGCGTTGCCCATTTTTAAGCAAGAAGAGTCAAGTTTGCCTCTCGACAACGAGAATGAAATCCTGCCTTTTCAGTACGTGCTTTGCGCGGCCACCTCTCCAGCAGTGAAGCTCCACGATGAAACCCTGACCTATCTCAACCAAGGTCAGACGTTCTCACTTCTCGGACAGTGGAGACTGCTGGGCCTAGGACGTGTGACTGTAGATACTTAGGTGACAGAGGTAGACCTGTGTAGTGTGACCTGTCACACTAGAGCCTTATGAGATGGTGTCACCGACTCATTTTGTCTGTCTGCCCATTTCCAATTCATGATCCTTGGTTATCCCCATTAGTATTACTCTACCCAGCCTTGGACAGGTTGCTTTGACTTTTTGTTTTACTTTCCTTATCTGTAAAAATGGGATTGATGGGGGCTAGAGAGATGGCTCAGTGGTTAAGAGCCCTGGCTGCTCTTCCAGAGGTCCTGAGTTCAATTCCCAGCAACCACATGGTGGCTCACAACTACCTGTAGTGAGATCTGGTGCCCTCTTCTGGCACACAGGCATACATGCAGGCAGAACACTGTAAACATAATAAATAAATACAATTAAAAAAAAATGGGATTGATGATAACTTAGAAAGTTGTGTCTATTACATGTAATAGGATAGGAAAGTGCCAGCACAGTGCCTAGCCACTGTTTGGTATTAATAGTGTTATTTGTACATTCGGCAACTGTGTTTTTTTTTCCTGAGTCTAGATGAGTGAATTGTGATAGGTGTAATTTGTAATTTTCTTCCAGGACAGTCTTATGAAATCCGAATGTTAGACAATAGGAAACTTGGAGAACTTCCAGAAATCAATGGCAAGTTGGTGAAGGTAAAACAAGCAACCTGTTCTTCCACACAAAAGCCTTTCACTGCTCCGTTCAGTTTTTCCTGTGTGTTTGTTTTCTTGGCAAAGTCTCATTATCTATTCTAGGCTGGCCTGAATCCTGGATCCTGCCCCAGCTTAGCAGAGGGTAATGCTGGGATTCCAGGAATGTGCCATCATGCATAGCTGTTAGTCCTTTTCTTTCTGTTTCATATTCTTTCGGATCCTTACAGGCAGGGCTCGATGATATCTTTTTGTCAGACTGAGAGATAAACTGACACTCTTCAGGGTCAGATTAAGCCTTGCTGTTCACATGGAGTTTTTATTTAACTAACTATGCGGCTTGTGTACACATGCCACAGTTTGAGTGTGGAGGTCAGAGGACATCTTGAGGGCGTCAGTTTTCTCTCCCTACCATGTGGGTTCCAGGGATTGAATTCAGGGTTGTCCGTCTCATCTGCTAAGCCGTCTTGCTGGACTTCACGGGTTTCTCAGAGTTGCAGAAGGCTTTCCAGTCCTTGTCAGGACAGCTTCCTGGTGGAGTTGTTTTGGTATGAAATCAGCTCCCTCAGGATTTTAATTTTAACGATAATTTTGTGTGTGTTTGGTGCTGAGGATCGAAGCCAGAGCCTGTTGTATGTTGAGCAGATCTCTGCCACTGAGCTACATGCACCCCCAGCTGTTCTTAAGGGTTAGGTTTCTGGTTCTTTGGCTACCTGGACTTATAACAGGGAAAGCAGAAACTGCTGTCGATGCCTCTCCTTTCCTCTTGCTGCATCCCGGATGTGAGCTGACTCCACAGCAGTTTACTGGGGTCACCACGAAAAAGGGCCCGGAGTTCTCACTTTGACCTGTGCGGTCTGACCTGAAGATCAGGGCAGCCCAGGAGCCAACAGTGTTTCCAGCAGTCCGACAAGGCTACTGACTTCAGTAATGGGATGCATTGTCTGGGACTGCATGCCCACTGAAGGAGACCATGCACACTCTGTCTATAATAAAGATCTGTAGCAAAACCAGGACCCCAACAACTACTGTTGATGAATAGCGTTTGCTTTGTGGACTGGTGGTAAGGATTTGGAGAACTCACAGCATACTTGGTACAGGAGTTTCATCAGCCACTGTAAAAGTATGGGGGGAGGGTGATAGGTACCCCCACAAAGTGAAAATAACAAGGAAAGTGCCGGGAGTAGCCTTATGACCCTCGGTGTTTATAGGTTGTGTGTAGGATTGGCATGTGGGTCCTCGTGTGTGTTTCATACAGACCTGAGGATTGGGCTGGCAGGATGGCTCAACAGGAGGAAGAGCTTGCTGCCAAGGGTAGGCGACTGGAATTCTGTCCTCCACACCTGCATGGTGTAAGGACTCTGTGGTGTGCATGCACTCCCCCAGTAAGGAAATAAAGAAGGAAATGTAATAAGAATCACAGAAAAGAAAAAGTACTTCACATAGTGGTTATGGTGGCACAGTGGTTGGAGGACTGTTCAAGGCTAGACCGGGCTGTGTAGTGAGTTTGAGACCAGGCTAGGCTACATAGTGAGACCCTCTCAGCTTCACTTAGGAGTCCGTCAACAGCTCAGGTATATTCTCAGTTAACTGTAAAAATGATGTGTGATCCCAGCACTCGGAAGGCTGAGGAAGGAGGAGGATCCAGAGTCTGATGCCAGGGCTAGAGAGATGGCTCGTTGGATAAAAGCGCGTGCTGCCCAGCCTGCCACCCTGACTGTGAGTCCTGGGACTCACGTGGTGGAGGGAGAGAGGCGTCTCCCTCACTTTGTCTGCTGCCGTGAGTCCTGTGGTACGTCCACAAATGCTCATGGGCACACCCACCCCACACTCACACGAAGGCTGTACGGGAGAGCTTCTGAGACTCACACAGAGGAGTTTAGATTGTGTGTAGAAGCCAGCTAGCGTTAACTCTGCTAGCTTTCCTTTGTCTGAACTGGTTTTCTAGACTCCTGTGGACTGACACTGTCCTTCCTTTAGAGCATATTCCGGGTGGTGTTCCATGACAGACGGCTGCAGTACACCGAGCACCAGCAACTGGAAGGCTGGAGGTGGAACCGGCCCGGAGACAGGATTCTTGACATAGGTGAGTCAGGAGAAGCTGCTGCTCGGAGACGTCCGATGAGTCTGGAGCTGGTCCTACTTGACTCCTCTGATTGTGTGCTTCAGAGGCTCCGTTAGCAGGAACCCTGAAGTGAGGACTGCCAAGCATAAGAAGATCACTTGTAAGATGACATCAGGGTTCCAAAGCAGCTTGTCCGTTGTTTCAGAGTGCTTTTGTTTTGAACTGTAGTAATATAAAATAAGTCTTCATATATGGTATAAAATTTCATTTTTTCCATTTTAGACAGACTGCTGAATACTATTAAGTGCATTTACTTTGTCTAATTATCACTATTATCTGTTTGCAGAACTTTTTTTGTCTTATGAGACTGAAATCTGTACTCTACATTGTAGCTTTTCATCCTGTTTTTCCCCATGCCGCTAGCCACTCTCCTTCCCTGTCACTGTCTGCCCTGGGCACCCCATGGGGGTATTTGTCCTTCGTGACTGGCTTCTGTGAGTTGGCAGTAGCCATTCAAGATTCACCCATGTTGTGGCATATGTCGGAGTTCCTTTCCTTTTCAAGGCTGAAGAGTATCCAGTGTCCACGACATTCTGTTTACTCACTCACCTGTGAGGGACACGGATAGCGTTCACTGTTGGGCTCTTTTGAGTGATGTTCCTGTGCACATGGACATGATAGTATTTGTTTGAGCCTCTGCCTTGGTTTCTTGTGTGTCTGAAACAATATCTCATTCTGTAGCCCAGGCTGGCCTTGAGCTAGCTCATGGTGGTCCTCCTGACTGTCTTTTGCGTGCAGACCGCTGATATGAGCCACCACACTCAGGCTTCTGTCTTCATCAAGAAGTGGCAGTATTGGGCCATATGCCAGTTCTATTTTTAATCTTTTTTTGAGAAGTGCCTGTCATGCTTTTTACCAGTAGTATTCAAGTACTGTCTGTATTTGACAATATTTATAATTTTCTGATCCCAGTTCTCAAGAGGTAGAAGCAGGAGGATTATGTCTCAAAAAGTTTCATAATTTTCATATTAGCATTAGTATGTAGACTTACTATAAGTTGCTTTCTTACCTAAAACCACAGTAGTCATAGGCATGGTAGCTCATGCCTGTAGTCCCAGCTACTCAAGAGGTAGAGGCAGAGTTGCTTGAGTCCAGGCAATACACTGAGACCCTCATCTTAAGACCAAAAACAAGCCAGGCGGTGGTGGCGCACGCCTTTACTCAGGAGGCAGAGCCAGGCGGATCTCTGTGAGTTCGAGGCCAGCCTGGTCTACAGAGTGAGTTCCAGGACAGCCAGAGCTACACAGAAAAACCCTGTCTGGAAAAACCAAAAGAAAAACGAACGAACAAACAAACAAACAAACAAAAACAAGGAGCCCTCAGAGTTGTTCAGTGATTCCCGTTGTGTTTCTCAGATATCCCAATGTCTGTGGGTATAATTGATCCCAGGGCCAATCCTACCCAGCTAAATACAGTGGAGTTCCTGTGGGACCCAGCAAAGAGGACATCTGTGTTTATTCAGGTAAGGCATCCCAGTTGCCATTACAGTTAGAGAGAGCACCTGTTACTACCAGCGTGTTTTTAAAGACTAAAACCTATCAGGGCTGGAGATGTAACTCAGTTAGTAGAGGGCTTGCTTAGCATGCATGAGGTCCTGGATTTGATCCCCTGCACCCCATAAACCTGTGTGGTAGTACACTCCTCTGATCTTAGCATTGCGTAGTAAAGGTAGGAAGACCAGAGTTACAGAGTGAGTTCAAGGCAGTCTGAGGTATGTGAGCTGGTGTCTCAAACAGTAAACTAGCAACAATAAAAATAAAGAATAAGATCTATGAAACTTAAAATCCTTTTGTGTAGGTAGACATGGTGGTGCACGCCTTTAATTCCAGCACTGGCAGATCTCTATGAATTTGAGGCCTGCCTGGTCTACATAGCGAGACCAGGACAGCCAGGGCTACACAGAGAGACTCCCATCTCAAACAAACAGACAGAAGAATCTTGTTTGAGTGTGAGTTGTGAGTGTGCACCTGTGCAAGAACGCACATGCTGGGGATTGAGCCTGCGGCCTTCTGTGTGCGAAGCATGCATTCTTCCACCGGGCTGCAACTGTTTCTCAGGGTTCCAGCCAGTCAGGTTCAGGCAGCTCAATTGGAAGAATTTTTTCATTGTTCCTTCTAAGTTTATGAAATCTATTTCCTTATATCTCTCTGGAATGTTTGCTGTTGTTTACATATTATACCATTCTTTGATTGTAGATAATTTGTCAAACAATTATTCAACAGGTAAACTGTTCTGTTTTTATTGTTATCCGTAGTTATTTTTAATGTACATAAAGTTTGATTTGCATATGTGATTATGTCCTTTGGGTAAATTCCTCAGAATTCTTTTATTTGTAATAATTTCAACCAATAATTCATTAAATACTTACAGTTGAGGTTCTCACTATGTTAGTACTCTGTGAACATCCTTTCAAGACTTTGAATAATAGTCCTTTGGAACAGGAGTAGTCTTTGAAATATTTAATTTTAACTTTTATATTTATAAAGTAAATATAAATAAAATATTTTTATTATTTTTAGATTATGTGTATGTGTGTTAGAATGTGGATTTGTGCATGAGTGCAGGTGCCCACAGAGGCCAGAGGCATTTAATATCACTAGAGCTGGAGTTATGGGCAGTTGTGAGCCACCTGGTGTGGGTGTTGGGAACTGAACTTGGATCCTCTGTAAGAATAGTGTGTGTTCTCAATGGCTGAGCCATCTCTGTAGCACCAAGAGTAGTCTGAGGCTTAGAGTGAGTCTGCACTAATCCAAGCTAGTGAGTGGCCAGCTACACAGCAGCCTTAGACTTCAGCCGTAACCAAACAAGTGTTCCTCCACTCCATCTGATTTTCTCATTTACTATGTCCTAGCCATTGGAAAGGCCCTCAAGCAGCCGTTTTTGTTTGTTTTTTGGAGGCAGGGTCTTTGATGGCATTAGATCTGTAAATTTACTTGCTTACATTTGTGAATTACTAATATGTTTCTAATTTCCTCCATTAGACTGAGAAATGAAAAGAATTTAGTGTGTATTGATAAATGCCTATTGAAGGGTTTGCCTCTGTTAGCCGCCCCAGACATTGCTGGCTGGTGTGGCTGGTGCCACTGAAGCCTTGGTGTCACTCCCTTCCAGGTGCACTGCATTAGCACGGAGTTCACCATGAGGAAGCATGGTGGAGAGAAGGGGGTGCCTTTCCGAGTGCAAATTGATACCTTCAAGGAGAATGAGAACGGGGAGTACACTGAGCACTTGCACTCCGCAAGCTGCCAGATCAAAGTCTTCAAGGTATCCTGGGCCGTGTACTGGCCTTAAAAACCTCTTTTTTGAGGGGGGTGGGGGGAGTTCGAGACAAGGTTCCCTGGCTATCCTGGAACTCACTTTGTAGACCTGGCTGTTCTCGAACTCACAGAGATCTGCCTGCCTCTGCTGGGATTAAAGGTGTGTGCCACCACATCCAGCTAAAACCTCTTTATCATTCCATTTTGACAGGAGGTGTCCAGGTAGTAAGTCAGCTTGTGTGTTTTTAAAACTACAAATCGGGGCTGGAGAGATGGCTCAGGGGTTAAGAGCACTGGCTACTCTTCCAGAGGTCCTGAGTTCAATTCCCAGCAACCACATGGCGGCTCACAACCTTCTGTAATGAGATCTGGTGCCCTCTTCTAGTCTGCAGGCATACATGCAGGCAGAATACTGTATACATAATAAATAAGTTTTAAAAATAAATAAAATTACAAATTGTCCGAGGTAGATGCTTAGACAACCTCTGGTTGTCACTTAAGGTAGTTTACATGGGGATTGGTGTGAGGTAACAAGAACTTATAAAGCAGGCTGCAGGCAAAACCGGGTTCTCATTAAAGCCTGTTGACTTGTAAGCTTTTCTGTACCTCAGAAATCATGCAAACTTGACTGATTTAGGTACATTAATAGTTTGTGTTTCTACTTTCTTATTATTTTTGTTGTTTTGAGGCAGTCATGAGGCAGAAATAGGTTTTGAGGTAGCCTAGAGTGGCCTCAGATTTTCTCAGTAGCCAAGGATGGCCTTGAACTCCCGATAATTCTGCTTCTGCTTCCAAGTACTGGGACTGTGGGCATGTGTCACCACTCTCTGCTCAGTCTTGGTTTTTATCACATGGATAAATAAATTCTCATTGCAAGAAATTCAGGGCAAGTGTGGTGGCTCAGGCCTATAATCTTTGCACTTAAGAGCCTAAGGCAAGATTGCTTCAGGATCAGCACCGACCTGGGCTCTGTATCAAGGAAGATAAACTCGGGAACACAGCAGGTTTCTTCTCGGAAAACCAAGAAGGAAGCAGGGAGGGTGAGGGTGGGGAGTCAGTGCTCTATAGTTGCCCTGGTTTGTCTACTGTGGTTACTCTTCCCGATTCTAGAGGTACGATGGTCACCGTCTGTTATGCATGCTTCTGGTCCCTTCTGTTCCTTAGTGAACCTGCGTACATAGGCACCCATATATTTTCCTGTCTTTGAAGCGTAAGTGGGAGTACACTGTAGGGGTGGTTTTGAGACTTGATTTTTTTTTCCAGCTTGGTATGTACTGTAGTGGTCTTTCTATCTGTCAGTCTTTCCAACTGCATCAAACATTGAAACATCCTATTTTCAGACAGTGAGGGTGATGCGCCCAGTCTTTATATGTGAATAGTGTTTGAAAGTAATATTTCTGGGTCCAAGTGTGAGTACTTGAATTTAAAGCAGCCTGTTTCTCATTTCAGCCTAAAGGTGCCGACAGAAAACAAAAAACAGACAGAGAGAAAATGGAGAAACGAACACCCCATGAAAAAGAGAAATACCAACCTTCCTATGAGACAACCATACTCACAGAGGTGAAAGGATTTTCCAGTTCATAATTTGTACTCCCATTCATTCATTCATTCACTCATTCTGTGGTGCTTGGGATCAGACCTGGGCCTTGTGTATGTTAGGCAAGCTCTCTATTACTAAACTGCATCTCCATCCCCATAAGTGTCATTCCTAAAAGAAAAAGTAAATTTAAGAAAATACATATGTATATATTTCTTTCCAGCCTAGTCTAAACTTGGTCCTGAGCATATTTTCTTGATTGATGAAGATATGCTAGTAAAGTGAGTGTTTTAGAGGAGACAGAACATGCTTTCTCATTCCCTAAGTTCTCCTTTGTTTTTAGTGTTCCCCATGGCCTGAGATCACCTATGTCAACAATTCCCCATCACCTGGCTTCAACAGTTCCCATAGCAGTTTCTTTCTTGGGGAAGGGTAAGTCTAGGAAATGCAATTGGATTGTGTTTGTACTAAATATATATTCTTTTATTACATTTCCATCGACAAGTTCTTTCCAGATTAGTAAGTGCTTCCATTTGGTCATCCTTTGACCAATTTTTGTACTGGTTGAGGTTTGCACTCTCCTGAAAAGAGATGGAGATTTATCTAAGAACCTTTACCCTCAGACAGTGTCAGGTAACATCAGATGGTGTCAGGTAACATCAGATGGTGTCAGGGTAACATCAGATGGTGACAGGTAACATCAGACGGTGTCGTCAGGTAACATCAGACGGTGTCAGGTAACATCAGACGGTGTCAGGTAACATCAGATGGTGTCAGGTAACATCAGATGGTGTCAGGTAACATCAGATGGTGTCAGGTAACATCAGACGGTGTCAGGGTAACATCAGATGATGACAGGTAACATCAGATGGTGACAGGTAGCATCAGATGGTGTCAGGTAACATCAGATGGTGTCAGGTAACATCAGATGGTGACAGGTAACATCAGATGGTGTCAGGTAACATCAGATGATGACAGGTAACTTCAGACGGTGTCAGGTAACATCAGATGGTGACAGGTAACATCAGATGATGACAGGTAACATCAGATGGTGTCAGGTAACATCAGACGGTGTCGTCAGGTAACATCAGACGGTGTCAGGTAACATCAGACGGTGTCAGGTAACATCAGACGGTGTCAGGTAACATCAGACCGTGTCAGGTAACATCAGATGGTGTCAGGTAACATCAGACGGTGTCAGGGTAACATCAGATGATGACAGGTAACATCAGATGGTGACAGGTAGCATCAGATGGTGTCAGGTAACATCAGATGGTGTCAGGTAACATCAGACGGTGTCAGGGTAACATCAGATGATGACAGGTAACATCAGATGGTGACAGGTAACTTCAGACGGTGTCAGGTAACATCAGATGGTGACAGGTAACATCAGATGATGACAGGTAACATCAGATGGTGACAGGTAGCATCAGATGGTGTCAGGTAACATCAGATGGTGTCAGGTAACATCAGATGGTGACAGGTAACATCAGATGGTGTCAGGTAACATCAGATGGTGTCAGGTAACATCGGATGGTGGCAGGTAACATCGGATGGTGTCAGGTAACATCAGATGGTGTCAGGTAACATCAGATGGTATCAGGTAACATCAGACGGTGTCAGGGTAACATCAGATGATGACAGGTAACATCAGATGGTGACAGGTAGCATCAGATGGTGACAGGTAACTTCAGACGGTGTCAGGTAACATCAGATGGTGACAGGTAACATCAGATGGTGTCAGGTAACATCAGATGGTGACAGGTAGCATCAGATGGTGTCAGGTAACATCAGACGGTGTCAGGGTAACATCAGATGATGACAGGTAGCATCAGATGGTGACAGGTAGCATCAGATGGTGACAGGTAACTTCAGACGGTGTCAGGTAACATCAGATGGTGACAGGTAACATCAGATGATGACAGGTAACATCAAATGGTGACAGGTAGCATCAGATGGTGTCAGGTAGCATCAGATGGTGTCAGGTAACATCAGATGGTGACAGGTAACATCAGATGGTGTCAGGTAACATCAGATGGTGTCAGGTAACATCAGATGGTGGCAGGTAACATCGGATGGTGGCAGGTAACATCAGATGGTGTCAGGTAACATCAGATGATGACAGGTAACATCAGACGGTGACAGGTAACTTCAGACGGTGTCAGGTAACATCAGACGGTGACAGGTAACATCAGACGGTGTCAGGTAACATCAGATGGTGACAGGTAACATCAGATGGTGACAGGTAGCATCAGATGGTGTCAGGTAACATCAGACGGTGTCAGGGTAACATCAGATGATAACAGGTAACATCAGATGGTGACAGGTAACTTCAGATGGTGACAGGTAACATCATATGGTGTCAGGTAACATCAGACGGTGTCAGGGTAACATCAGATGATGACAGGTAACATCAGATGGTGACAGGTAGCATCAGATGGTGTCAGGTAACATCAGATGGTGTCAGGTAACATCAGATGGTGTCAGGTAACATCAGATGGTGTCAGGGTAACATCAGATGGTGTCAGGTAACATCAGATGGTGTCAGGTAACATCAGATGGTGTCTTCTACGGGAGAATTTTGTGATGAGCTGATAGTTAGGTTTTTTGTCGATTCTATTTGTTTGTCTTGTGGTTCTTGCACTTCCTTTCACGCTTGCCCCAGAGAGTGGCCTGGGAACTGGAAACACAGTTGTATGGACATTTTTTTCTTGTTAAGAGTCCTTGTGTTGTTTCAGTTGGATTTGTTTATACTATGTTCAACCTACTTTTTTTGTTTTTTTAATAACTTATTTTTATTTAATGTTAATTGATTTTTGCCTGTATACATGTCTGAAGCCCTGGAACTGGAGTAGCAGACAGGTATGAGCTGCTATGTGGGTGCTGGGAATTGAACCCAGGTCCTCTAGGAGAGTAGTCAGTGCTCTTAACCACTGAGCCATCTCTCTAGTCCCCCTACTTAAAAGATTTAAAAAGTAGCTTAAATATTTGAAAAGTAACAGTTAAGAACTAATACCTTTTTTGGTATTAGTTCTAAAACTAATACATCTGTCTATAACCCCGATGTCATTGCTAAGTTTGAATATCAAGGTTAAAATTTTCAACTACGACAGAAATAAAGAGGAAAAGGGGTTGTCGTTTGTATATTCCAGGCTGGCTTTGAATTATTACATAGCCAGCCTAGCCCTGAGTTCACAGCAGTCCTGCTGCCAGACTCCCTAATCCTGGGGTTACAGGTATGAATTGCCATTACTATACTATGTTTCTTGTTTGTTTGTTTGTTTGTTTGGATGTGGGGTCTTAGCTGTGTTTCTAAGCTGGCCTAGAACTCCTGGAGCCAAGCAATCCTCCTGCCTCAGCCTCTCAGGTAGCTGACTAAAGCTGACCACTATATCTGGCCCAGAGGAGCTCTTGAAATAAAGGGTTTTCTTATTATCCTTAGGGGGATGATGCTGTCTACTTGGAGGCAATTTAAAATATTTGCAGTTTAAGGATTGTGTTTTACATTTTTTCCTCAACTTTTTCTCTCATAAAGAAAATAAACATTAAACAAAAGAAACTATAAGAAAAACCAAAAGTGTGGAAATAAATGTTGAATAACAAATTAGGACTAGCCGGGCGGTGGTGGTGCACATCTTTAATCCCAGCACTCGGGAGGCAGAGGCAGGTGGATCTTTGTGAGTTTGAGGCCAGCCTGGTCTACAGAGTGAGTTCCAGGACAGGCGCACAGCTACACAGAGAAACCCTGTCTCGAAAAACGAACATCAACAACAAAAACAAATTAGAACTAATTTTGACTCAACTTTAACCATAATGGATTGGGGAGCTGGATACAGTTCAGTGGGTCAGAGTGTTGGCTTCCCAGCTGTGAGAGCCAGAGCTTGGATCCCTGCACCCGTGAAATCAACCAGACATCTCACAAACTCCTGTAATCTAGCTCCAAGGAATCCAGTGCTCTCTTCTGGACTCCACAGTAGGTATACACACTGACATGGATCTTTGAATATACTTTCACAGACATATACACACTTACAGATGGATGGATGGATGGATGGATGGATGGATGGATGATAGATAAGATTAGATAGATAGATAGATAGATAGATAGATAGATAGATAGATAGATAGATAGATAGATAATGGATGGATGGATAGATGGATGGATAGATGATAGATAAGATTAGATAGATAGATGGATGGATAGATGATAGATAGATGATTGATTAGATAGATAGACAGACAGACAGACAAAGTAGATCTGAAATGAACTGGGTCAGCAGGATAGGCCCTTGTAAAGATGGAAGGAGAACTGACCCTACAGAGTTGACCTCTCACCTGCACCACCACAGCATCCTACACACACAGCAACAATTAACCAAAATTTAAAAACTAGTAAATAGGGACTGGAGAGATGGCTCAGCAGTCGGAGTACTGGCTGCTCTTCCAGAGGACCCAGTTCAGTTCCTAGCACCAACATGGCAGCTCACACAAGAATTGTTTTTCAGAACTGAGGTAGTGCAGTGGGATAGCAGTTGCGAGCACATGCAAGGAAGGAACTGGGTTCCACCCGGACAGCAAAATAGTTTGTTGTTGCTGTTTGTCTTTTTGTTTTTTGTTTTTTGTTTTTTGTTTTTTGAGCAGGGTCTCACTTAGCTTTGGCTGATCTGGAACTCAGTCTGTAAACCAAGCTGGCCTTGAACTCGTAGAGATCCACCTGCCTCTGCCTCCTGAGTGCTGGGGTTAAAGGGGTGGACTACCATGCCCAGTCCAGTGTGTGATCGTAGTATATATTTTCTTCTGACTCTTGCGTGTTGTAGTGTGGCTGTCGATCTGTTTAATATAGGAGTGATGCATGCTTACAGCAGTGAAGTACTGGGACTTTGTGTCCCAGTATTGTTTTTCCTCTTTTGAACTCAGCCTTATGCATCCTAGGCAGACACTTTACTGCTAACTATATTCCTAGCTCCTCGCAGATATTTATTATGCCATAATTTAATCTGTCAGTTTCTATTTACTGAATTTTGATATTTTTCCTAGGTCCTCAGTCATAAAAAATGTTTCAGTGACATAGTTTCTCCCCTTCCCTGAAATTTCTGAGTTAATCAGCACACACTCACACCTGAAGCACTCTGAGAGCGTGTTTGGAGATAAAGCAGAGAATCTTTTAGCTCTCTGATACTGAAGCATGCAGTAATAGACCAGAGCATACCATGGACTGATCCTTTCATCTTCAATATCTCTCCTTAGAAATGGCTCACCAAACCATCAGCCAGAGCCACCCCCTCCAGTCACTGACGTAAGTCTAAAGCCAATGTCAGTTGTTCGTATGTGTAGTACTGTTGTGGTGACTATGATTCTGTCAGATGCTAGTGGACTAGAGACTGTTACTCATTCATTCCCTTCCTTATTGAAGTTATACGAGGGACTGGAAACATAATAGAGACAAGAGGACCTTGAAAGCAGTTTTCTTTGTTTGCTTGTTATTAGCCAGACTTTGACTGTGCATCACAGGCTGGCCTTGAACTCACTATGCAGCCCAGACTGGTTTAGGACACAGAGTAGTCATCCTGCCTCAGTCTCTCAAGTGCTGGGGTTGCAGGTTGCACCGCCCTACCTGGCTGCAGCTGCTTCTCTTTCTATGGAGCTCATTGTGTTGCCCGGGCTGGTCCAGTGTGAGCTCTGTGATTTCTGAAATGGCTGCCACTACAGGATCCCTTGACTGTGAAGAGCTTACAGTCTGATAGTGAAGTATCACTCGTGGTTGGAGAAGAGCCTGTGTGATAGAAACAGTTCCCGGACACTCCCTGCATGGTTGTAGGGTGCAGAAGAGTTTGGTTATGCTATCTAATGAGGTAGCAGGTGAACTATTCAGATACAAAAGAATACATTCTCTTTCAGAACCTCTTGCCAACAACCACGCCTCAGGAAGCCCAGCAGTGGTTGCATCGAAACCGGTTTTCCACATTCACAAGGCTCTTCACCAACTTCTCAGGTTAGATTAGTTTTTCCTTTTGCCTTCTCAGCATGGGGTATCCATGTGCGCCATAGGGCCGGCCTCTTGATGTCTATATGGGTGTGTGGGGCTGGGGAGGTGGTGTCTCAGTCTTTTTTTTTTTTTTTTTTTTTTTTTAATAAAATGAATTTCATCAAACACCTCAGACTTTCAGCTGTCTCTAATCGTACTGGGAGACTCCTGGAGAGAAGCAGTTTTTAGTCTGAAAATGTTTATTCTGTATAGCACTTTAAAATGTGTGTTCCAAGGGACATTCAGTGCTTTACCAAGGGACATTCACAGACAGACTGTCCGAATTACTTGTACAGTCCAGTTTATGCAGCCTCTGTGTGCTCTGGGTAGGAACATGCAGTTGATGAGATGTACTGGTGAGAACCTTTCTTCATGTGTGCAGAAGAAAGATTCCATCAGAGTGGAACCTGCTAGATAAGTACTACAGCAGGAGTGTGTGAGTGAAACTGGGAGCAGCTGGTGTGAGTCTGTCAGACTGTGGAAGGGTGTTTCTCCCAGCAAAAGCAACTGGCCCGCTCAGCACCCTCCATCTGATGAAAGCATAGGGTTAAGTGGAGAAGTTAATTGCGTGAGAATTGAGACAGAAGATGAGGCAGAGGCTGAGGCACAGGGCTCTGTCTGCTGTAAAGACTGCAACAGATTGCCGATGAGGTGTCCTCAGAGTAGAGCCCATTTAAAAATCTCTTACAGAAGTGATTTTTGCCTTTATCATTAACCTTTTTCCCCCTGTTTATTCCAGGGGCAGATTTGCTGAAACTAACTAGAGACGATGTGATCCAAATCTGTGGCCCCGCAGATGGGATCAGACTTTTCAATGCATTAAAAGGCCGGTATGTACTTTCAAGATGCCCATGGTTAAGATACCAGTGAGATTGGATTTCAGATGTATTTATATCCTGAATTTTCCCTAATACTCTGCACAGATAAATATATCTTGTCAAAAGATTAAAACAAAGTCTAGTCGTGGGCCAGTGAATTGAGTAGGTACATGGTAAAGGGAAGTGTCAACTCTCAGAAGTTGTCTTTGGCCTCCACCCCACAGGGACTCTGATATGTGTCCCCACTACAGACACACAGATGTACACACAGCGTGTGTGCATGCTAAATCAATATTTTGGTTTAAGAAAAAATACTTTATTTTAAAAAAAAAATCCCACTATGTACCAAATAAACACAAATGAAAAGCATCATTTCTTACATTTGATCCCAAGAACTCCTTGTGATAGTCAGTTATTGTTTCCAGCTCCTCTCATCAGGCAAATGGTTACTGTCTTTATGTAAGATAGGTACTTCTGTAGGCTCTGGAGGTACATTGGTGACAGTGTACCCATAAAGAAAAACAGTAAGTATTTTAGATAGTGCTAAGAGCTTTGAAGGGAACCAGACAGACAAACTGGGTGTGGCTCAGCTCTTAATTCTGGTACCTAGGAGGTTGAGGTAGGAAGATCAAGAGTTCAAGGCTATCCTTGACTTTGTAGTAGCTTCAAGGTTAACTTGGACTACCAGAGACTCTGTCTCAACAAAACAAAACAAACACAAAATAAAGCAAGTTTGTGGTCTATAGAATACCCTGATGTAGTCAGAAAAGACACTCTGTGGAGGGTGTGTGTGTGTGTGTATTCAAGTTCCAGACCAGCTATGTACTGAGACCCTGTCTTGAAAAAAACAACAACAAAAAAGAGTAATTGTAATCCTTTTTGAGTGTGTGTGTGTGTGTGTGTGTATGTGTGTGTGTGTGTGTGTGTGTGTGTGTGTGTGTGTGTGTGTGTGTTGGGGAGGTTGTTTTATTTTTGTTTTTAAATGTTTGGGTTGTTTTTGTTTTTTGGGTTTTTTGGTTTTGTTTTTTTTTTTGAGACAGAGTCTGGCTACATAGTCCAGGCTGGAATTGAATTTGCTGTGTAACCTAGGTTAGCCCTGGACTCAGAACTTCCAGCCCCACCCACTTAAGTGCTGGAATTACAGGCATGTGTTACCATGTTTGCCTTAGTAATAATTGATGGGAGGAAAATGAGATATACGACAACAGGACTGAATCAATTGTGAAGGATTTGTATTTTATACCTCACACATGTACTGCATTGAGTTGACGGTAGTCTTAGGAAATCTTGTTTGTGAGAGACGGTCTCATTATATCTCAGATTGGCCTCAAACTGTGTATGTAGCTGAGGATAAAGCTTTGAATTCCTTTCTTTATCTCCTGATGCTGCAGTTACAGGAGTGTGCTACCACCCTGGCAGTATTGGAAAACTTAAAGGAAAGTGTCTTAGGGTTTCAGTTGCTGTGAAGGGACACCATGACCATGGCAACTCTTTTAAAGGAAAACATTTAATTGGGGTGACTTACAGTGTCAGAGGTTCAGTCCATTATCATAGAAGGGAGCAGCCCGTGTGCAGGCAGACGTGGTGCTGGAGAAGTAGCTGAGAGTCCTACATCTTGCAGGCAACAGGAAGTGGTCTCAGTGACACAGTGAGAGAAGCTTGAGCAAGAAACCTCAAAGCCCACCCCACATTGACACACTTCCTCCCACAAGGCCACACCTCCTCACAGTGCCGCACCTCCCTTTGGGGCCATTTTCTTTCAAACTACCACAGAGATAGCTAAAAATTCAAGGATTAAGGGCTAGAGAGATGGCTCAGAGTTGATAGTGCTTTCTGCTCTTCTAGAGAACCTGTGTTTGGTTCCCAACACCCACATTAGGAGGCTCACAGTTACCTAGAACTCCAGCTCCAGGAGATCTGAAACCCTCTTCTGGCTTCTGTGGGCATACAGGCACACACACACACACACACACACACACACACACACACACACACACACACAAATAGCTTTGCTTTTTTTTTTTTTTTTTTAATTCAAGGATGGGTTGGAGAGATGACTTAGTGGCTAGAAATCTGAGGGTTAGTGACCCAAGGAAAGAAGGAGATCTTTCAAAGGCTGGAGATGTAGCTCAGTGGAAAAGCCTTTGCCTCCCTTGTGTGAAGCCCTGGGCTCAATCTCTGGTGCCACAAATCAAATATAATAGGTAATAGAAGTAAGAATTTAAAAAGTTAGTAATAGGGGCTGGAGAGATGGCTCAGAGGTTAAGAGCACTGACTGTTCTTCCAGAGGTCCTGAGTTCAATTCCCAGCAACCACATGGTGGCTCACAACCATCTGTAATGAGATCTGGTGCCCTCTTCTGGCCTGCAGACATACATGCTGTATACATAATAAATAAATAAATCTAAAAAAAAAAAAAAAAAAAAGTTAGTAATAGATCCTTTATTTGTAAGTGTTATCCTAGGAGTATATTGAAATGGAAACGAGCGGGGTGACCAGATGAAGAAGCCCTGAGGGAGGAAGCAGACCGGGAGAGAGTAGGCTGGCTGCTGGGGGCACGCACTGAGGGAGATCCGGTCATCTACTTCACTGTGCCAGTGTTTCCTTCCTCCTTCCTTCGTCCTTCCCTCCTTTCTTCCTCCTTCCTTCCTTCCTTCCTTCCTTCCTCCCTCCCCCCTCTCTTTCTTAGGTTTTGTGTATGTGGCAGGGGAAGAGGTGTCTGGGGTCATATGGAGATCAGAGGACAACTTGCAGGAGTCATTTCTCTCCTTCCACAATGGGAGTCTCAGGAAATAAAATCAACTGGCAAGAGCCTTTACCAGCTGAGCCATCTTGCCCACCATATATTAGTATTTTTAAGTAAACAGCATATCTAGAACCTGACCCTTTTATAAAACAGTGACTCTTGCATGTTAAATATTTCTAACCATAACTCCAAAGCTCCCAAACTCCATTGACTCCAGGAACTACATGGTCATTAAAGGACCAACAGTCAAAGTCAGGGTTTAGTGAAGAAACCTTGGGAGAATGAGGACCCTGAATTGCCATGTCTAAGCTAGCACTAGGGTTCTCTTCCCTCCCTCCCACTACTCCTCTTCTACCCCTCCCCTTTCAGTGCTGGGAACAGAACCCAGGGCCTGAAGCATGCCCGGCCAACAGTCTACTACTGAGCCCCAGTCCCAGCCCCACATCTAACTTCTCCGGGAATGCAGAGTTTAGAAGCTTAAATGGCGCCTCCTGTTGGAACCAATGGGCCTAAAAAACAAAGCCCACCACTGAGAGACAAGGAACAAGTTGCATTAGTAGAATTCGTCTCTGCTCTCTACAGTGGCGTAGGGACTCAGGCCCTCCTGTGGGTGTGCTTCCCATGGGAACACACTGTGAAGCTGACAGTCCCATTTTTCCCTCCATAGGATGGTGCGTCCAAGGCTAACCATTTATGTCTGTCAGGAATCGTTGCAGTTGAGGGAGCAGCAGCAGCAGCAGCAGCCGCAGCCACCACCACAGCAGAAGCAAGAAGACGGAGATTCAGATGGTACTTTCTTCGGTAGGTTGTTCTGGGCAGCCCAGGACAGGCAGGAAGAAAGGGGAAGCAGTAACTCATCGGCAGGTGTGATGGGAGTTTAGACCAGTTCAGCATTAGTTAGAGTTCTAGAAGTCATGGCAATTGCCCACATTTGTTGAGCTCTTAATCTGTGCCACATGCTAGTTCCAGTACTTTTTGTATGCTTAAATTCTTAAAGCTAGTAATGGCCACAGTGCTGTAGGTTTTCTCCTCTCCAGAAGAGGGAATGGCTAGGTTTGTTGAGTAACTTTTCCCAGTTCACATTGGAAAAGGGTAGCTGAGGGAGGATCTGAAGCCAGGCTGTGTGATTTGTGAGTCTCTGAAAAATGAGCAGGTTACCTGCAAATGCAGACGGCCTGTGCACTAACCACTGTGCTTTCTTTTGCAGTATACCATGCTATCTATCTAGAAGAACTGACAGCTGCTGAATTAACAGAAAAAATTGCTCAGCTTTTCAGTATTTCTCCTCACCAGATCAGCCAGATTTACAAGCAAGGGCCAACAGGAATCCATGTGCTCATCAGTGATGAGGTCAGTTTCTCAGTCCTGTTGAATTACATCCATAGTTTGTTAGGGCATGTGGCAAGGCCAAGAGCACTCTGCCAGGGCTGGACTCCGTTTTCTACAGAGAGGCTTAGGTTTTTAATTTTAATTCTTAGTAAAAAAATTTAACAGATGTGGTCTTGCTATTTTGGCCTGATGGACCCTGAACTTGTGGGTTTACATGATCCTCCTGCCTCTGCATCCTGGGTTTCTGGGAGTATTGGCATGAAACACTATGGCTTAGATTTTGTTGTTTGCTTATACCTCTTAATTTTTAAAAATTATGTGTGAAGTTGGGGGTGGTGATGCACCCCCATAGCCCCAGCACAAGGAGAATTGGAGGCAGGAAAATCATGAATTCAAGTTCATCTCAGGACCCACTTGGCCTACATGAGATGGTGTCGTCACCCACCCCACCCCAAGGAGAAAAAAATCAAAACCAAAAACTGGTGAGGGCGAGGTGGCTCCACAATGAGGAGTAATTGCTGCACAGGCGTGAGGACGAGGGTCAGATCCCAGCACTGTGGTTCGGTTTGGTTTTTAAAGATGGTTATGGTCCCCCATGCCTGTAACCCCAGCACAGGAGGATCACTGGAGCGTGCACAACCCAGCTGGTGCGGCTAGATCGGGAAGTGAGCTCCATACCTGCTTTAAACAAAAAGTAAGGTGGACAGTGATAGAGACCACCTGATATTGGAGTTTGATCTCTCTGTGTGATTGTGTATTCATACACATGTGCATATGTACCAACATACCGCACATCCACGTACATCTCATGTGCACACTTGCACACATACGCGCGCGCGCGCGCACACACACACACACACACACACACACAAACACACACAAAACTATCCTTTGCACATTTTTAGGTCAATTTAAAAAAGTTTGAACAATGGTATTTTGTTACTTGAGTAAAAATTGTCATTCCTAGACACACACACACACACACACACACACACCATTTTAAAATGAGATGGTAGGTTAGGGAGACGGCTCAGTTGTAAAGAGCTTGCTGTGCAGATCTAAGGACCTGAATTAGGATCCCACTACCCATGTAAAAAGCCAATCATGGCAGTGTGTGCCTGTAATCCCAACATTAAGGAGGCAGAGACAGGAAGTTCTCTGGAGATTACTGACCACAGAAGGTGAGCTCCAGGTTCAGTGAAAGACTGTCTCAAAAAGATGAAAAGCAATTTAGGAAGACAGCAGATGTTAACCACTGGCTTCCACATGTGCATGCTGGCACACCCTCCACTCCCACACGCAGAATGCTTAAGCAGGGAGAGCTGATGCTTATAATTTAACATCTGGAAGGCAGAGGCAGCAGCATTGGGTTTTAGTGCCAACTTGAGGGAGAGCAAAAGAGAGGTTGATATTATTCTGGTTATATTCTTTTTAACCTAAATACACATCTTTGTTTTTTCCCAGTACTGGAACTGAAATCAAAATTACAAGAGTGATTTAGGAGCTAGAGAGATGGCTCAGTGGTTAAGAGCACTGGCTGCTCTTCCAGAGGTCCCAGGTTTGATTTCCAGAACCCACATGGTGGCTCACAGCTATTCATAACTCTAATCCCAGGGGATCTGACATACTTTTCTGACCCCCCACGGGTACCAGGCAGGCACATGACGCATAGATGTACATGGCAGGCAAGCATTCATACTCATAAATTAAATTTTTTAAATGACTTAATACAATTATTCATTTAAAAAAATACAAGTATGCTCTGTGCGTGCGTGTGTCTGTCTGTCTGTCTGTCACGTGCGTGTGCATGCAGGTGTGTTCCCACCCATGCATATGCTTGTGGAGACCAGAGGTTGAGTTTGAGTGTTTTACTCAGCCTCTCTCTCCCTCTCACTGAATTGGAAGCTTACCAATTCCACTAGGCTGGCCACTGAGCTCCAGGATCTGCTGGATTACTGGCACATGCCACTGTGCTCAGCTTTTTATGTGGGTGCTAGGAATCCAAACTCGGGTCCTTACAGTGCACAGCAAATATTTTACCACCAACTTAACGGTCTCTCCGGCCCCTTGCCTGTCTTTATTGGCTTTACATTTTTTGAGATAGGGTCTTTGTGGTCAAGGCTAGCCTTAAACCCCCTGTATAGCTAAGGATGATCTTGAACTTCTGATCCTCCTGGCTGTGCTTCCCAAGTGCTGGGATTATAAGTGTGTGCTAGCCTGGCTCTCACAGAGTTGTCTTTTTTACCATGACGTGTTAAGCACCACATTTTACAAAATGCTTTGTTTCTTTTACTATTATTTTGGAAGGAAAGCCCTAGTAAAGTTATTTTAGTTTAAAATAAATTATAATTTTACAAACTAGTCTATTTTGAAAAATTCTTGAATTTGTTTCAGATGTTGCCAGTGCCTTCCAAAGTAAGCGATATCGAGGTACTATTCAGCGTTAGTTGTTCTGGCTTACAGAACTTATGGACTCTTTAATTTGAAGCTTGCTGACTAATAGATGCCTTTGAACTAAGCTAACTAGAGCTGCAGTGTTATTCTCACACTGTCCACAAGCTTAGTTGTAAACATAGAATTCTTACACTATTCAGAAGAAACAAGAGAGCTTAATCTCTGCTTCGGTACAGTGTCATGAAAAGCCTCATATTCAAAATAAACCCTGCACACCAGGGTGTAAATGATCACAAATCTTTTTTTCTTTGTTTGTTTTGGGTTTTTTGTTTGTTTGTTTGTTTTGTCTTTTTGAGACAGGGTTTCTCTGTGTAGCTCTGGCTGTCCTGGAACTCGCTCTGTAGACCAGGCTGGCCTCGAACTCACAGAGATCCACCTGCCTCTGCCTCCCGAGTGCTGGGATTAAAGGTGTGTGCACCACTGCCCAGCATGATCACAGATCTTGTTGTTTTTTTCCAGATGATACAGAACTTCCAGGAAGAAGCCTGTTTTATTCTGGACACAATGAAAGGTAATAAAATAGTAGAACATACTTTAACACTTATTGTCTGTCCGTGTGTCTGTGAGGTGGGTTATTATGTGCCTTGGCACACACAGGTCGTAAGACAACCTGCAGAAGTTGGTTCTGTCCTTCCACCTTGTGGGTTCTGGGAACCAAACTCAGGTCATTTGATTCGGCAGCAAGTACCCTTACCCCACTCAACCTTATTGCCAACTCAAAATAAAAATCTATAAGAGAGTGCATGCATCTGGGTGTATCCACATGTATGTGTAGAGGCCAGAGGACAGTCTCAGGTACTGTTACTTAGGCACTAGCCACCTTTTTAAATTTATTTTTTCTACTTTAATATAAACCTATTAAAATTATATTTAAAAAAAAAAAAAAAAAAAAAAAGGCCGGGCGGTGGTGGCGCACGCCTTTAATCCCAGCACTCGGGAGGCAGAGCCAGGTGGATCTCTGTGAGTTCGAGGCCAGCCTGGACTACCAAGTGAGTTCCAGGAAAGGCGCAAAGCTACACAGAGAAACCCTGTCTCGAAAAAAAAAAAAAAAAAAATTATATTTAAAGTTTTATTTTTATGTGTATCGCTGTTTTGCCTGCATGTATGTCTGTGCACCACATGAAAGGCCAGAAAAGGGCCTCAAATACCCTGGATGAGAGTTCCAAATGTTGTGAGCTACTAAATGGGTGCTGGGAATTGAACTGTGTTCATCTAGAACAACCAGTGCTTTTAACCACTGAGATATCTCTCTAGCCGACCCCCTAAAAAACATCATTTATTTTGTGTGCACACTTGTGTGTGTGTGTGTGCCTGAGTGTATATAATGTGTACCATGTGCAAGCAGGGGGACTGTGTCGGTCAGAACTGGAGTTAAAAACTATTGTGAGCTGGCTGCCATATGGGTGCTGGGAACTGAACCCAGGTCAACAAGTGTTCTTAACCACTGAGCCATCTTTACAGCTCCATTGAGTTTTATGGTTTTGTTTGTTTTGATACAAGCTCTCTCACTGACCTAGAACTTGCCAAGGTTAGACTGGCTGGCCAGTGGGACTCAAGTCTTTATCCTTCCTAACACTCTGATTAGAATCATTCACCACCATCAATGCAGGACATCTTTAACATTGTTTTTTATTATTAAGTTAAGTTTAAGCAGTTTATTAAGGTTGTTAACTCCCCAGCCCCCTTTGTAAGGAATTTTAAAGGTTTTCCAGACGGTGGGTTTTAACTTGGGTAGATATATGCTTAGCATATACAAGGCCTTGGGATGGATCCCAGTTCCTCAACAACGAAAAGATCTTTAATGTTTTACCTTTTTGAGGTAAAATGTGGAGACTTTTTTTTTTTTAATGTGGTCTCTATGAAATGCAGGCTGACTTCAGACTAGCAAACTCCTGACTCACATCACCCCTGGGGGCATATTCTCCCTCTTGAGAAGGGAAATGGGAAGACCATTTGAGAGAGAGGCATCATTGCTGACATGGTTCTCTGTGTGAAGTGGCTTCCTGACATATGGGGGAAGGCACCCCTGGCCACGCCACCATTGCCTTACATCCTCCCTTAGCAAATGAGGAATTCAAGGTGTGTTGTTTTTATTGCCATCCTTACTGATTTACAGTGAGGCCCCATCCTGAGAGGCCCAATATGAGGTGGAAATATTGAAAATCAATAATGCTGAATCCCAGCACTCAGAAGGAAAGGCAGAGAGAGTTTGAAGCTAGCCTCACCTACATAGTTAGTTCCAGGACAGCCAAGGCTACACAGAGAAACCCTGTCTCGAAAAAACAAAAACAACAGCAGCAACAAAAAAGATCACTCCTTCTCTCTCCCATCTTTTTTACAGCAGAAACCAGTGACAGCTATCACGTCATTCTGAAGTAGGAGGAGCGTTCCACGCTTGCTGGCTGCAGCTTCCCTCCTCTTGATGGCTGCCCTTTGAAGGGGTCATGACTGGAGACTGAAGGTCTTCTGGAACCTGGCTGTGTGAATGTTGGAGGGGGCATGCTGGGCGACCAGGCCCTGAAGTGGAATCCCAGCCCCCTGTATTGGCCCAAGCTGTGTGGCACCCTCAGATCCTGCCAGACATGGAGTTCAGCAGCAGTCTGCTTAGTGCTGGCCCCTGTTGGAGACCAGTGTGAACTCCCATCATTAGGAGTACAGAGGGCAGAGTGACAGTGGAGTGGTGGGACGTTAATCCTGTGATAGAGAGCTCTTGCCGTTGTCCTTTCTTTTGGTTTGTTTGGTTTTGGTTTTTTTCCAATTCGTTTTGTTTTCTGAGACAGAGTTTCTCTGTGTAGCCCGGGTTGTCCTGGAACTTACTGTGTAGACCAGGCTGGCCTCGAACTCACAGAGATCCACCTGCCTCTGCCACTGAGTGCTGGTGTGCATCACCACCCCCTGCCATTTTTCTAATGTGAAAGTGAGCGTCTGTATCCATACGACGACGTCATCGATCTCGTTTGTCTCAAGCATGTGGTCACCTCTGCTTTGTTCCCTTTTTTTTTTGACAACTTCTTCAGTGAGGAGAAATATAGATTTTTTTTTTTGAGATAGGGTTTTATGTTCTTGCCTCTACCTCCCAAGTGCTGGGGTTATAAGCATTCGCCACCTTGCCTATTTCTACAGGACTGGACTTGAACCCGGAACCTCACATGTGCTAGGCAAGCACTCCTCCAACTGAGCTCCAGCAGGCCCTTCCCTTTTATGTTAAGATAGCGTCTCAGGATCTTATATTTTGGTTAACCTGCAATACCACAACTGAATATTTGGATAATATTTATTGGGGTAGGCAGAGTGATAAATTCTGTAGATGGAGCTTCTTGTTTTCATCCCCTTAATAAATCCATAATAACTAGGGGAGACAGTGACCCCCAGCTGAAGATAAGGAGATGCAGACACGGTGGTGGTGTAGCCTGCCTGAGGACAGGCAGCCAGCGGGCAGTGACACTGCTGGGCCCTTATTCCTTGATGTCTCATACCACCAGATGCCACTCATCACTTTTCTGGGGCTGTGCTGGAAACGGATGAACTAGCTACCGAAGGAGGGAACATACCTAAGTAATTGTAGATGAAATTCTAAATGGTCGTATTAAATAAGAAACAGAGCCAAATACAGAGTTAAAAGCCCAGAGATCGAGCAGCAGCCAAGAGCTAAGACCACCTTATCTTACCACTCGCTGCCCTCCTTCCCCTGAGAGAGAGACCTTCTTCCTGTGTCCTGTCTTTTTTTTTTTTTTTTTTTTTTTTGGTTTTTCGAGACAGGGTTTCTCTGTGTAGCTTTGCGCCTCTTCTGGAACTCACTTGGTAGCCCAGGCTGGCCTCGAACTCACAGAGATCCGCCTGGCTCTGCCTCCCAAGTGCTGGGATTAGAGGCGTGCGCCACCACCGCCGGCGAGTGTCCTGTCTTTTTATTGCCTCTCTGTTCTGCCTTCTCATTGGTTCTAAACCCAACCACATGACTTCCTCATCACTGCCTGTCTATATAGACCTCTAGGTCTCTATGGTTGGTACTGGGATTAACCATGCTGGCTATGTCCTTGAACACACAGAGACTTTGCCCGCCATGTGACCGGATTAAGGGCGTGTGCCACCACTGCCGGACTTCTGCTAAATGGCTTGCTCTTAGCTCTGATCCCCAGGCAACTTTATTTGTTAACATAGAAATAAAATCACATTTCAGCACAAATAAAATATCACCATAAATAATGATAATTGAGACCTACAAACCAAACCAACACCCGCTCAGTGTCACCATGAAGCTCAAACACAGTTGGAGGTGGAGAGCTGGAGTCTCTCACCGCTGGAGCTCATTGCTCTTGTGTGATGTTCTCACACTGTGATAAGTGAGTTTCTCCAACCCCACCTTCCCCTCCCGTCTCATTTTGGCATAGTGTGTTTTTTATACTTTTAAGCTTTACAAAAAATACATTCTTTTCCCGTTCAAACTCATGCTGTGTCTATGTTCTGCCTTCTAAATGACTGTATGTCTGTGTGCATGTGCAGAATTGTAAAGCATTATGGGTCTTCTTTTTTCACATGTAATGTTTGTGTTTTTGTTTTGTTTTGTTTGTTTTTGAGACAGGGTTTCTCTGTGTAGCCCTGGCTGTCCTGGATCTGACTCTGTAGACCAGGCTGGCCTCAAATTCAGAGATCCACCTGGCTCTGCCTCCCAAGTGCTGGGATTAAGGTGTGTGTCATCACCACCTGACCACATATAAAGTTTTATCTAGAAATTTCCTCAGATTTTGTTGAGATGAACAAAGACAATGTTAAAAGATTCTGTATTGGGTTTGAATTTATGTGTGTTTTTGAAGCATTTGATAAAGCTTACTTTTTTTTTATATAGACAGTTTTTTGTTGTTGTTCATTAAAGTCAACCTGTAATGTGGTTTCTAATTTCTTTTGGTTTGAAACAAGTTTAAAACCTTGAACCCTGGAAATGACTAGCACTGATGCAAACAGCTTGACTTTCCTGGTGCGTGATTACCCATCATCCCATTTTGAGGTGACATTTTTAGTTGTGTTGTGGGGGCGAGTTCCCAGCCTGTACAGCTGCTTCTGTCCTCATAAGCTGCTGTGGGCTACCATCCCACCCTGTCTGGATGGTGAATGGAAGAGCTGACTAGGTGGGTGACTTGTGGGAGACAAGGTCTTCTGTTGCCCTGGCTGGCTTCGCACTTGATACACAGCCCAGGCTGGTCCTGAACTTATACCTCAGCCTCACACTGAAGATGTGTGACTCCATGCCTTGATTTGAATTAGTTGATGACTTAAGGTTCCTTCCAAATGCGTGACTCTCATGTTCTTGTGAAGTACAAATGATACATATAACTCTGTTAACATTAATCATAATTTATATTTCCTAATTTTTTTTTTTTTTTTTTTTTTTGGTTTTTCGAGACAGAGTTTCTCTGTGTAGCTTTGCGCCTTTCCTGGAACTCACTCTGTAGACCAGGCTGGCCTCGAACTCACAGAGATCCGCCTGGCTCTGCCTCCCGAGTGCTGGGATTAAAGGCGTGCGTCACCACCGCCCGGCTATATTTCCTAATTTTTGAAGTTACTTCTTATTGGAGTAGCCTTCAAAATGATAGAAGTGAATGTATATACTATTGTTAGATTTTGTTTTGCTTTTGTTTTTTAAGGCTAGGACAGCCTGGAACTGCAGTTGTAGACTAGGAAGGGCCTGAGACTTGCATTGACCCTCTGTCTCTTCTGCCCAGATTCTGGGGTTCCTCACTTGTGTCTCACCTGGCTCAGATCTTTAAAATAACAGAAGCCCCCTTGGGCTTCTTTTGAATCCCTCTTCCAAGGTATTTGCTGTGCCTGTGCTGGGTAACTGCTTAGTGATAGACCATTGTGATTGCTTACAAAATACATTCCATGACTGACCTTTTCAGTTCAATGAACAATTTTAATTGGCTTTTCCATTGTAAAATTATAATAATATAAGTATGGATTGGTTATAACTTTTTCTTCTCTCCTCGTCCTACTATAAAGAGGTAGTCATTGCCGGGCGGTGGTGGCGCACACCTTTAATCCCAGCACTCGGGAGGCAGAGCCAGGTGGATCTCTGTGAGTTCGAGGCCAGCCTGGACTACCAAGCGAGTCCCAGGAAAGGCGCAAAGCTACACAGAGAAACCCTGTCTCGAAAAAACGAAAAAAAAAAAAAAGAGGTAGTCATTGACTGGGGTGGTTTCCTCATCCCACCACTCAGGATACGGGCACAAGGCTGCATGATGAGACCATCTTAATTTTTATTTTGTCATGACAAAACATCATGACCAGGATAACTTGTAAAAGAAAGCCTTTAATTTGGGGGCTCACAGTTCCAGAAGGTTTTCTATGACCGTCATGGCAGGGAGCATGGCGGCAGACAGGCAGACATGGGGCTGGAACCAGAGTTCAGAGCTTTCATCTGATCCACAAGCAGGAAGCATGGAGAGAGAGCTAACTGGGAATGATGTGGGCTTTGAAACCTCAGAACCCACCGCAGTGACACACCCACTCCAACAAGGCCACACTACTGGGGACCAGACATTCAAACATAGGTGCCTGTGGAGACCATTCCCATTCAAGCCAACACAGAGACCTTGTCTCAAAATTTAAAAAATAAATAAATAAAAATCATTGCAAGAAATTTTTCAACACATTTATGCATATATAAATCTCAGAGATGCTAATAAACCATGATTTAGTTTTAGTATTTAACATGTCTTGAACATCTGTCTATACTAGAATTGATAGTTCTGCATTATTGTTTTGTGAAGTGAATTTTCTGTGCTCCTGAGCACCAGTCTTCCCGACTCACTAACCCACCTCTCTTCTTGGAGGTACCTCTTTTCCTTCTAAGTAAACTGCCCCCATTTCTGAGTGTGTTGTTGGGTTTTGTTTGTTTGTGGTTTTGTTGTTTTATTAAAGAGCAGATTCTCAGGATGTATTTAAGTTAAATACATTTGGAAAGATTTCCTCATACATTTTCCACATATCTCAGATATATTTTGGAAGCAAGATTTGATGGTGGCTGGAGATAAAATGGAGAATCCAGGAAACTCTGGGTTCAATCCCTGGCATCACATATAATCAGGCAGGCATACCTGTTATCCCAGCACTTGGGGATGGAGGCAGAAAGGCAAAAATCTCAAATGCAACAGGGTTTGAGGTCATCCTGTGCTCCAGTGAGCCCCTGCTTTTAAAGAAAAGTGGGACTTTATGTGACTGATGATTGATAATAGATATTAAAGCTTAACCATCCCATTCAAAAGAGAGCATGTGAAAAATGAAATCATACCCTGTTTGACTTACTGTTGTCTGTATTTCCCCTGAAATAGAATGGGATCCTTGTAGAAATACATGTATAGAAACATAATAGTTAAATGGGACTTCCTGGGAAATAAAAGGGAGAAGAGGGTCATTACAGGGCTCTTTAAGAATTGTTAGTCACTCTCTTAGTCAGGGTCCCTGTTGCTGCGATGAAACACCATGACCAAAAGCAACCTGGGGAGGAAAGGGTTTTTTTGGATTACACTTCAGCATTGCTGTTCATCACTGAAGTCAGGACAGGAACTCAAACAGGGCAGGAACCTGGAGGCAGGAGCTGATGCAGAGGCCATGGAGGGCTGCTGCTTACTGTTTTACTCCCCGTGGCTTGCTCAGCCTGCTTTCTTATAGAACCCAGGACCACCAGCCCAGGGATGGCACCACCCACCATGGGCTAAGCCCTCCCCCCCCATCAATCACTAAGACAGTTCCCTAGGGCTGGAGAGATGGCGCAGAGGTTAAGAGCACTGACTGTTCTTCCAGAGGTCCTGAGTTCAACTCTCAGCAACCACATGGTGGCTCACAACCATCTGTAATGAGATCTGGTGCCCTCTTCTGGTCATACATGCTGTATACAAAATAAAAAAATAAATCTTTAAAAAAAAAAAAAAAAAAAGACAGTTCCCTAAAGGCTTGCCTACATCCTGATCTTATGGAGTCATTTCCTCAATTTTGAGGTTCTCTCCTCTGATGACTCTAGCTTGTGTCAAGTTGACACAAAACTGCCCAGCACTGTCACTAAGTGCACCGACTGTCAGAAATAAGATTGTCTGACTTTTATGGCCCAATAAGACTGTTTACCCAGGGACAGCAGGGTTGGCTCATTGGTGAGAGGATACGCTGCTCCTCCAGCGCCCACTTGGTGGCTTCAGCTGTCTAACTCCAATTCTGGGGGATCTGACTCCCTTGTCAGGCTGGGAAGGGGGTTCAATGGTTAAGAGCACTTGCTGTGCTTATGGAGGACTGGGTTTGGTTTCTAGCACTCACACAGCAGACCATAACCATCTATAACTCCAGCTTCGGGGTCCCATGCCCTCTTCTGACCTCTGTGTGTGAGCATATGTGCTGGCAAACCCATAAACATAAAATCCTTAAAAACAATTTGAAAGTATTTTTTAAAAAGAGAATTTTTTTTATTTTTTTATTTTTTTGGTTTTTTGAGACAGGGTTTCTCTGTGTAGCTTTGCGCCTTTCCTGGAACTCACTTGGTAGCCCAGGCTGGCCTCGAACTCACAGAGATCCGCCTGGCTCTGCCTCCCGAGTGCTGGGATTAAAGGCGTGCGCCACTGCCGCCCGGCTAAAAAGAGAATGTTTACTCACGTAAATGACTAAGAAATGATGTAGCTGGGCATAATGGCACACCTCTCCCTTGCAATGCAAACACTTCACTGATAACTGTATCCCCGGCCTGCCTTTCATGTAAATGGTGGTTATTTAATTTATTTATTTATTTAGGCAGGGTCCCACTCTATAGCTGTGGCTGGCTTGGGACTCACTATGTCGACCAGGCTGGCCTCAAACTCACAGAAATCTGCCTCTGCTGGGATTAAAGACGTGTGGCACCACTCCCAGCCCGATATTTTGGGGCTTTTGTTCTTTTGTTTTCTTCTCCATTTCTTGAGATGGTTTCTCTGTGTAGCCCTGGCTGTCCTGGAACTCACTCTAAATCAGGCTGACCTCGAACTCAGAGACCCACCTGTGTTTGCCTCGTGAGTGCTGGAATTAAAGGTGTGCACTACCACCGCCTAATTGTTTTTTTTTAAGATTTATTTTTATTATTTTTAATTATGTATAGGTGTGTGTGCACACACAGGTACACAATCACATGCATGTGGGTATGTACACGAATGCAGGTGCCTGCACAGGCCAGGGGTATTCAATGTCCTGGAACGGGAGTTTCAGGTGGTTGTAACCACCATGTGGGTGTTAAGATAGAGAAGCTTGTTCAGAGTCGAGCACACAGGTTCATCTTCAGGCAGTGGAGCCCAAGGATCCCTGGTTTTCATCATGTCTCCTCTGAAGTCCTGACAGGTAGATGATCAGTGCATGCGATCCTAAAGATACTTTTCCATGGTCTGCTGTTTCCCCTGTGCTGTTGTCTCCTAGACAACCTAAAAGTCTCTGATGTCACCTGGGGACGAACATCAGAATTCACGGCACTTTTTCAAAGCCACTTAACTTCTGAGTTCCAAAAGGGACATGGCTTGGGAGCCAGTAGAGCTGGCTTCATAGTTTCTTGGCTACAGGAAAAATGCACTAGGATTTAGAACCACCACACACACCTACACGCACTGTAATCCTGCTATCCATCCATCCATGGAGCCAATAAATATTTACTGTGCTCCTAAACATCACAGAACCAGATTTTTTAAAACTTGGTATTGGTCTGTGGGGAAGGCTTTGCCCTGGAGGAGATGGGAATGGGGGGGGGGGGTTGGGGGAAGGTGAGGGGGACGGGAGGGGGGAGAACAAGGGAATCCGTGGCTGATATGTAGAACTGAATTGTATTGCAAAATAAATTAAAAAAAAAAACTTGGTATTGGGAATAAAGGACACAAAGAACTGCTTAGTCTTGTGGCGTCTAGTCATGTGATGGAAGACTAAAAAATAACAAACTCAATCAGTAGTAATGCCAGAGAAGTAAGAGAAAGAGACCAAGAGAAGCAGTTGTTTCAAATTATGGCTATGATTCCAGTGCTCAAGAAGATGAAGCAGGAGCGCTAAGAATTCAAAGCTGATTCTGGCAGTGGTGGCACACAACCTTTAATCCCAGCACTCGGGAGGCAGAGGCATGCAGATCTCTGTGAGTTCGAGGCCAGCCTGGGCTACAGAGTGAGTTCCAGGACAACTAGGGCTGTTACAGAGAGAAACCCTGTCTTGAGGAGAAAGGAAGGAAAAAAGAAAAATTCAAAGCCATCTTGAGCTATATAGACCTTATTCAAAACAAAAAACGGTGTGGATGGTGTGTGTGTATATGAGAGAGAGAGAGAGAGAGAGAGAGAGAGAGAGAGAGAGAGAGAGAGAGAGAGAGAGACCTCTCTAATATGGAGACATTTGAATAGTTACTAAATGAACCAGCGTATGACTGGTTGGCATAAGACTAAAAGCTCGAGGCAGAAGCATGACTGTTGAAGGGGCTACAGGAAATGCCAGTTTATCGAAGCAAAGTATGAAGAGAGGAGAGTACCAGAAGATAGGATGAGATTACGGGAGGCGGAACCGCAGGATGGACCTAGATCTTGCCTTCTGTCAACGGAGAAACGGTAAGAAAGGAAGGCTATAGGTCACTGACAAGTCCCAAATAACTTCTTGGTCCTTATCTTGCCCATTCTAAAGATGAGCTGCAAAGAATTAAGAACACGGAGAAATTGGCAGACAAGGTGGCGCATGCCTTTAATCCCAGCACGCGGGGGTGGGAGGTGGGGGGCAGAGCCAGGGGATCCTCTGTGAGTTTGTGGCCAGCCTGGTCTACAGAGCGAGATCCAGGACAGCCAGAGCTACATAGTGAGACCCTGTCTGACAAACAAACAAAAAGAAGAAGAAGAGGAGGAGGAAGAAGAGAAGAAGAAGAAGAAGAAGAAGAAGAAGAAGAAGAAGAAGAAGAAGAAGAAGAAGAAGAAGAAGAAGAAGAAGAAGAAGAAGAAGAAGAAGAAGAAGAAGAAGAAGAAGAAGAAGAAGAAGAAAGGTCATTGTAATTCCTTTGATTAATTTAGGCCAGCTGCAGCAAGTCATATGGGGACAACCCTGTGAACGTGAGTATCACGTTCCTCAGGCATGGGCCTGGGGTCCTGGTGCGGGGAGAAGGAGGGCTTTATAGGAGAATTCGTTTAGTTAGTGCGGATGTGTAGCCGAGGGTCGGCAGCCTTGCGCTTCCAAAGGCTGCAGCTGCCCTGATGTCTCTCTCCAGGGGTCCGATGCTCGTTCCAGGGCGGGCTAAGGGCTTTGCGGCACTGGCCGCCTCCGACTCCCGGCATGCCATTGGGCGTGGGCCGGGTGGAGACTCCATTTCCCAGGCTGCCCCGGGGCCCGGCCACGACGCGCCGGCGCCTATAAGAGGCAGAGCGCTGCAGCCGGAGCCTATTGTTAGCCGGAGCCGGGGCGGTTCTGGGCTGTGCTGCCCGGGGTGCCCGAGTGCAGAGCCGCCCGCCCCCCGCCGCCTGCCGGCCGGCCCACACGCCCTGCAGCCCCGGGAGCCTCGCGACGGGCCGGGGGACCAGCACGCCTCGGGCTTCCCTCCTTGCACACGGGCTGAGGCGGCAGCGGGGGCGGCGGAGACCGTGACGGGAGAGGCGGCGGCGGCGGCGGGGCCGGTAATGGGCCTGGGGTGCGGGGCGGAGGGGTCCGCCTCGTCCTTGCTCGGCAGCGGCTGTGGTGGAGCAGCGCTCCGGCGCAGAGCCGTGCGGAGCGAGGGGGCGGGGGGCGGGGAGCCGGGGCGCCTCTGGGAAGAGGCGTGGGAGCGAGGGGCGCCGGGGACGCGGGCCGGGCTGCGGGCTGGCTCGAGGGACGGCCGGGCGGCTTGGAAGCCGGCGGGACTGCGGCTGACGGCAGAGTTCGGGATGGAGTGGGCAGTGATGTGGGATGGAGGGAAGTGAAGGAAGGGGAGGGGGCCCGGAGGAAAATGTGGGAGGAGTGGTTGGGAATTTGTGAGTAGCGGGCAGGAGGATGTGGAAGGCTGTGTGGGGACTGCAGACGACCGGAACGAGCGGGAAGGCTAGCGGGAATCAATGGATTGAGGGCTGAAGGGTTCCTCCGCTGCGTGAAGGCGGACTGGTGACTTGACATGTACCTTCTGCTCTGGTTCCTGATGTCTCCCGTTTTTCTGGCGTTATGTGCGAAAATGAGAGCATTGCTTGTCCTGGTCGCTAGCTTGATCTTTTTTTCAGGCCCAAACACGCAGCCGCCTGCCATCCATCCCCATTTGAGTGCTATGGTCTTGATTCATCCTTTCGAAGGGTTTAGAGTGTCAGTGTGACATACAAACTGTTCTTCAGTATGAAAGGTTAGAAGTTCTCCCCAGGAGACAACACTGTTGCCCTTGTCCTCCGGTTTTCAGTTCATGGTAAAACCGCAGCCGATTCACATTCTCCTTTTCTTTGGTGTCTTTAAATCTTACAAATCTCTGAAACCAGGGTGTTGGTATGTGGCAGAGTTATAAATGACGCTATCCTTCAGAGAAGAGTTAATGCAGCATCATGTTCCAGGTCTCCCACAAAGATCTTGTGTCTTCCCTAGGATGTGGCTTACATGTGGAAAGCCAAATTCTAACCTCGTGTTAGTTAGTAAACGGGTAGGAACCCGGAGTGGGGGCGGGTTAAACAGGAGGTTTTCAGTGAGTACCTGAAGTGCTTTTCCGATGTCATGATCTTGGTGATGACAAGGACGCATGGATCTGTGAAACTGTAGATTTGAGAATCACCCACAGTATCTTGTAAAAGGGACGCAGGGTAGGGCGTCTTCCTCAGATTTACTGGATGGTGTGACGGCAAGCTTTCTCCCCGCAGCTCTACCTCAATGGTGGCTGATAGTCTAAGATTCCTTGACCTTTACTTTAGCAGAACACCAGGTTCTGGGTTCTAGTTGAGTGGAAAGGCTCTTTCCTGTGAGGTGAACCTTGTCTTAGGATTTTGGACTCATTTAAGAAAAAGGCTCACGTACCTAAACTTTACAAATGTTTTCTGCGTCCACAGTTTTCCCTACACTGACCCAGTTATTTATTTATTTGTTTTTTGTTTGTTTGTTTATTTTGAGGCGGTGTCCCTTTGCATAGGCTCTCTTGGGACTCACTATGCAGACCAGGCTGGCCTCGAACTCACAGAGATCTGCCTGCCTCTGCCTCCCTTGTGCTGGCCACACCCAGTTTTTGCTATTCTTATGTAAGTTGGGACTTGAGGTTTTCTGTCCTCATCAGCCTGAAGAAGGCTTAGACCTAGTACTGAAATACGCATGCTGGTTTTATTTGGTGCTAGCCAAATGAATGTCTTCTGTGTACGATTGCTATGAACTATACTGTGTACCTTGGGGAACCGTTCAGCTGGACGCACTTAACAAAACACCGAAAGGCGTGTTGTCAGAATGTGTCAGCTGACTTCTCATTTCACCAGCATGTAGAAGCTTCTAGAGAGATAGCATTATTTGTTGTTTGAGATGTTTAGTTAGACGGTTGAGTATTCTGGCCTGCATTGCTAGTCTCGCCTTGGTTATTTCTGTGTAGGTTTGACTGCTTGGATATAAGGCATGAAGTGGAGAGGTGGGGATCAAGATGGGGTTTCCTGTAGCCTTGACTAGCTACAAACTTGCTTTGTAGCCAAGGATGACCTTGAACTCCTGCTCCCCCTGCACTTAAGTGCTGGGATTCCATGTCTGTGCCATCAGGTGAGGGTTAATGAGTGTCTTCTGAACTCAGGCGTTGATCTTTTGCCAATGGTTACGGGAATAGTTGAACCCGTGGGAATGGCTGGTTCTTCATGGAACCTGTTCTCGTGGTTGCTGTGGTACTACATGAGTTCTTCAAGGCAGTGTGGGACTAACTAGGTGGGAGGCTCATGGTCAAGTTCACCCCAGAGAGCTGGACAAGGAGAGCGAAGTTGGAATATAAACATACATTGTTTGCCAGGAGATGACGATAGAAATGAAGTTCGCCAGTGCTGGAGGGCTGCCCTTGCTGCACACACCTGGGATCCCAGCACAGCAAGAGGACCACTGTGGGTTCCACACCTTTCTCCAGAAACAAGCTGGGGTCTCGTGGGGCCAAGCTGGGCTACATTACAGGAAGTATTGCTAACATCCCGAGTAAGGTGAAGAGAGCTACAACACTGAGTCTCAAGAATTTTCCAGAGCATCGTCCGTGAAAGGGTTTTTGTTTATTTTGTGGTGCTGGGAATTGAAACCAGGGAAGGCTTCAAGCGTGGTAGGCAACCACTGTACCACTGAGCCACACCCCCAGCCCTTTAATGGAATAGGTCATATAGGTCAGTGTACACATTATTGACACGTGTAGACCCGATTATTGACAGCTTACGGAAATTACTTTTCCTTACGTTTTGACGGCTCCCCCCCCACCTTTCCTACCTACCTCTGTCATTGCCCAAATCCACAAGCCCAGAAGTCAGAAGATGTGAACGAAGAGGCTTAGAGCAAGCAGCCAGCATCGCCACACTCAAGGGCACAAAGTAGCCCTGACCAGAGGGTTCTCTTGAGGGCAGCTGAGTCAAGATAAGGGGGAATTTTAGTAATAAAGATGGCTTTGGCCCAGATCCAAGTTCATGTGAGACTTAAAGAGTCATAGTCAGAGGAAACCCACACGCCCGGAAGCAGAGGATCCTGAGGAGAGAGCAGAGTGCACATTTGCTTCCAATCACAAATCCCTGAGTGCTTCCAGGCTGAGGAACAGCCATTTTTCTACAAGTGTTGACTGGAGCCCAGTTAAGTTGAAGGGGCACTTAAGCCTTTTCCAAGAAAGCAGGGTTTCTGCTCAGGGTTGGTTCTCCTGTGGTTGAGAAGGCACTGGTGGTGTGAACCCAGCCGACAGCAGTCTCCTTTTCCTCTGTAGTAGCCACATGAGTACTTAGTGACAAAGGTGTCCCCCTCCCCCCGCCCCTGCCCGCCATGCTCCTTCACCCAGAATAGAACGGAATGAGACATTTGTTAGCTGAAAGGCATCGTCTTTAACCCAGCTAAAATCCTAACCCACACAAAGCCCCTTCACTCCTGATGCTTGTCATTTCTAAGGAGGTGACCTGTGGTCAGACCCAAGGGTCACAGCTGACACCTTGGACTCACTGGATTCTTTAAAAAAACTTTTCGGATTTATTTTATGTGAATAGGCATTTTTATCTGCATATGTGTCTGTATACCACTGTGTGCTTGGTGCCTGAGGAGGCCAGAAGGGGGTTTCAGACTCCCTGAAACTGGAGTTAGAGGGCTGGATGATGGAACCGAACCCAGATCTTTTGGAAGGGCAGCCAGCACTCTACTGCTGACTGCCAGCCTTTTATATATATATAAATACATACATATATTTATATATATATATACACATTTATAAGACAGTTTCTATGTGGCTCTGGCTGTCCTAGAATTCGCTCTTGGACTAGACTGGCCTCAAACTCAGAGATCCACTTGCCTATGCTTCTGAATGCTGAGATTAAGGTGTGTGCCACCATGCCCTTGATTATAATTCTTTTTTGTTTATTTGTTTTGTTTTTCAAGAGAGGGTTTCTCTGTGTAACAGCCCTGGCTGTCCTGGAACTCTCTAGGCTGGCCTCAGACTCACAGAGATCTGCCTTCCTCTCCCTCCAAGTGCTGGGATTAAAAGTGTTCACCACCACTCCCAGCTCCTTGATTATAATTCTTAACAAGCTCTTGATTTGAATTTTTCTTCTTAGCCAAACTTACTTAAGGGATGTGCTTGTCTGAAAACTCTGAAGGCAAAGGTGCTTCGGTTCATCTTGTGACTGGAATGCAGAATTTTTATATGATCTGAGTAGGTATTTTAGGAAATCCCTAAAGCACGCACCAGGTCTGGTTAACTTTGTAGAGCTGATCTAAATTGCTACTAAAGATGTCATCCAGAAAACCAGGACTGTAGCGGATCTCTCTTGTCTCCACAGTGAATTCTGGGTAGCTGCTCTGCAGGAATGCAGCCATGTCTCCTGGGCAGTGCTGTTAATCCTGCTGTACAGTTAGCAACCAGTGAGATCATAGTGTGGGAAGTGTCTTACCTCGTCACATGTGGGTTTGGCTCTGACAGCATTTCTCCTGTGCAGATCCATGTCCTTTCGGAACGTAAGTCCAAAGAAAGATGGAGAAAGACCTGGGCCTGATTGTGTTGGTGTAGCCAGGACTAATTGTCACTTCTTTTTCCGTTTTCCTTTATGGTTTCTTTTCAGAGGCCAGAGACTGTAAAGCTCTATTCCCTTCTTTGCACAGGGAATGATGAGAGACCAGTATAAGATTGAGAACAAGTCTGGTCGTTGTTTCATTTATGGGGATGGGATAACCCCGGGGCCTTGTGTATACTAGGCAAGCACTCTGCCACTGAGCTACACCCAGAGCCTCACTTTCTGGGTTTTGAAGCCAGTGCAGATTCTAATCTTGGCTCCTTTCTTTAGTACTAAATTTGCCCTTTCTGGGAGCCTGGTGAGACACTTCACACTTGCGAAGATCTGGGTCAAGGGTTTTCCTGACTGCCAATGTCCTTCAACATTGAGAGCCTGGAGCAGAATTTCCCAAAGTGTGTTCCAGGGATTATCTGCCCCTAACATACTTTGGAAACAGTGGGTTCAATAATCAGGTTGTGAAACGCTGCTCAGTTTTCTTCCAGCCTTTACCATGAGCGCTCCTAAGTATATTAAACCCCAGGAGGTTCTGCCATGGGTGGTTTTCTAAACTATCTTAACAGCAGTCCTATTTTCATTCAAAAAGCTATTAATATCCATGCGACTAGTGTATTTAAGATATACACTTGGGGAAATGCCAGACTACGTTATCACTGGGCTGAATACTTGGGTCTGACTTTGGTTTAGGCAAAGGCTCTGCCGTCTTTGATCTAGTCCCCCAGGGATCCTGGGAGTGCCCTCCGGTGTGATCTGAAGAAAGTGAATGACAGCCTGAGTCAGTGACTCCTGTGGCCAGCAGGATGGGAAGTGAGTAAGAACGCTGGCCAGAGTCAGCAGAGAAACGACCTGGTCCTGGGACCAGGCAGACTAGTGCCAGGCCAGGTGCGGAGCTTCTTTCTCTTCAGTTAGAACCATGTGATTACAGATGGGACGGGTCTGTCTGCTCGGGACAGCAGTGCTGACTCTTCTTCTCCCCTGGGCAGAATCCTAATGCTCCTGGCTAGCTGGTGGTGAGCAGCTTTGGGGCCATCGTGGTTGGCTCCCCAAGGAAGCCTTTTGAAGCCAATGGATGCATTCTCAGGCTCAGGGCTCAAGAGGAAATTTGACGATGTGGATGTGGGCTCCTCAGTTTCCAACTCAGATGATGAGGTCTCCAGCAGTGACAGTGCTGACAGCTGTGACAGCCTCAACCCTCCCACGACTGCCAGCTTCACACGTGAGTGAGCCGCTCCCTGCCCGCCCGTGTTCCCCAGAGAGCCCCTGCAGCCTGAGACCGCTTCTGTCCATCCTGGGGATCTGCCCTTTCCATAGCATGTCCCTGGTTTTTGGAAACCTCACTGCATACAACATTCAGCGTAGGCTGAAGTCTGATTCATTCTACTTGGGTTGTGGTTTGGGGTGCCCAGAATGGGTGGGAAGTGATGAGAAAGGAAGACCTCAGAGGACTTGTCCAGAGGTTCAAGAAACTAACTGGAGTAGGAGTAGATGTTTGCTTTGGACCCTGGGAACCTCCAGATCTCTTCATTCCTATTGTCTTGATCCCATAGATCTCCAAGGGTTTGAACCCTGAAAAGAAAGCCCTGAGGGGTACTGTTGTTTCAGTTCAGAGCACGCCTGACAGCTTTTCCAATGGCACCTAGCCTGGGCACAGTGGCATCTCCCAAAGAGCCTGAAATATTTATCATCAGGCCTGTTCTCGAAGATCCCACTGTCGAATACTGTCCATTGAATTTTCTGGGGTAGAAATGTTCCTCGTCATCATGGTCCACTGGTAGTTCTTGGTCACATGTGGCTACTGAAATACAAACTGAAGAGCTGAATTTTTTAAATTGAGTTTTAATTAGTTTAAACTATCACATGGCACTTTTCTTTTCTCCTAAAAAGAATACCTAGTGCTCCCCAGTTGCTGTCTAAAAATAGACTTTGTGGCCATCATTTAGATTAAATCAGGCTGGAGGCAGTGGTATGAACCAGCTGAGGCTGAAGGCTCTTTCCAGTTTTGCGTATGACATAAGACTTGGAAATAGTCTCACATTTAAGAACGAGTTAAGAGCCTAGATGAATAAGAGCAGGCGAGAGCCCTGAGCAAGCCATCTCGGGATCAAGACCCATGTGTTCCGTTCACAGCCACATCCATCCTGAAGCGGCAGAAGCAACTGCGGAGGAAGAATGTCCGCTTTGACCAAGTGACTGTATACTACTTTGCCCGGCGCCAGGGTTTCACCAGTGTGCCCAGCCAAGGTGGGAGTTCTTTAGGAATGGCCCAGCGCCATAACTCTGTACGCAGCTACACCCTTTGTGAGTTCGCACAGGAACAGGAGGTGAACCATAGAGAGATTCTTCGTGAGCACCTGAAGGAGGAGAAGCTTCATGCCAAGAAAATGAAGGTGACTATGGGGGCTGGGGCCTGGTGCTTCCTGCATGCTGAGACCAAGAGGGAAGCCCACTGTGCCCAGTGATAGCATTTCTTCAGAGAGTGCCATTTATCTTGTAATGAGAAGTCTCATCCTTTCAGTCGGAGCTTAGTTTCAGTCTCCTGTCGTCTCTGGTGGCACTGCCAACCAGAGACACAAGAGTGCTGTCCCCTCTTCCTGTCACAGGGAAGCTTCTCTGGTGTCACGTGAACACCTGAAACTTCTCAGGCCTGTCACCAAGACGGCACAGACTTCAGTTTGTCGGTGATTGTCCTTGTCCTCGTGAGCAGAGCAGAACAGGTTTCGGATCTTTGACATTCTCTGAAGGTCCACTGCCCTCTGACCCCACATCATCACCCCGAAGACTGACACTGTCTCCTTGGTGCAGAGAGTAGCATGATTTCATAGTTAGATTCATAGACTAGAACACCAGGGTACTGGAGAGGTGGCTCAGCACTTAAGAGCATTTGTTACTCTTTCAGAGGATCTGGCTTGGTCTCCAGCACCACATGGTGGTTCCTATGGTGGGACTAGAACTTGTTATGTAGACCAGCTAGCTTCAGGTCACTGATATCTGCCTCCCTCTGTCTCCCAAGTGCTGGTGTTAAAGGCCACCACCAGATATGGCCAAATAAATCATTCTTTAAAAAATACTGCAGAGCCGGGCGGTGGTGGCGCACGCCTTTAATCCCAGCACTCGGGAGGCAGAGCCAGGCGGATCTCTGTGAGTTCGAGGCCAGCCTGGACTACCAAGTGAGTTCCAGGAAAGGCGCAAAGCTACACAGAGAAACCCTGTCTCGGGAAAAAAAAAAAATACTGCAGCTACTGCCCTCTGCTGACGGCACCAGCAGACCCTCCCCAGACACCCGTGTGTCTGCCTTAGCATGTTGCTGCTCCATGTCAGAGTTGCCATAAGTCCTTCCATGTCCCCAGAGAAGAGGGCATAGCTCAGTGGTAGAGCACTCACCTAGTGTGTGTGAAGCCTCGGGTTCTATCCCCAGTTCAGGAGACAGGAGAATATGAGTGAGAGTGAATGGGTGTGAATGAGAATTCATTTCTGGGCCCAAAGCATGGGGTGGCTACATGACTTCCAGGGGTGTAGACAACACTGAGCAGGCTGTGGTGGCCGAGGGTACAAACTAACTAGGTCTCACCAGTTTGCAAGCTCTCAGCTTGTTCCTAAGGCCTTACACCTGTTCCTGTAATGACAATGACATTCAGCCTTCCCTTTCTTCTGAGGAATTCTGTCACTGACCCTGTCACCTTTCTGTTGCTATAGCAACAGCTAGACAAACATTCTTCTCAGTTGCGGTGAAGGTTCCCTTTCCTCTAAGACAGACGCTGGCCTCCTCCCCAGGAAGGTTTTCCTGTCTTTAGCACCTATAAGAACACAGTCTTGAAATAACATACATACTGTGTCTCTCGTGTGCCATTTAATATTTCTTTTCCTTTGGGGCTATTCCAGTGAACTGTTAGAACTCTGTAACCTTCATTACATACAATTTTCTAATATTTCAGTTTTGTTTTATCCATATGGGATTCATTATTGTAAGTAGTTTGAGTTGGGTGGTGGTTGTTTTTGTCTGTTTTTGTTTTGGGGGTGGATCTCATGGAATCCATGCTGGCCTTGAACTTGCTGTGGGTCAGGGCATAGCTCTGAGCTTTTTTCCTCTTGCCTCTATCACTTCCATGAGCCACCACACCTGGCCTTGACTTTCTTTCCTCAAGAGTATCTAGTTGTGCCAGCACTGTTTAATGACTGGAAGGCTGCATGGCCCTGAAATACCCCTTCTGTGGGATCGGAATTCTCCTGTTTAATGACTAGAAGGCTGCATGGCCCTGAAATACCCCTTCTGTGGAGATCGGAATTCTCCTGCTTGCTTCTCTGGTCGCTTTCCTTTGAGAACAGCAGGAGTGCTGGGGATGAGCCAGATCTGCGACACAAACAAATAGGAACAATCCTAAGGCCTACAGAAAGGAACCTGGCAGCTGCTTGCCTGGTACAGAGGTAATAGACGAGAAGTCTGAGTGGGGTTCTCAGCTCCTCCGTTCCCCCACGAGCAGTGAGGTGCGGGCTTACTGTGCTGCGCCGTTGCATCACGCCTCCCACAGGAGTCCCTCTCCCAGCACTGCTCTGGTAGTCTGATGAAATAAACCAAAGACTCCAGCGACTGGGCTTTCAGCCTGCTAGCAGCTTCCAGGGCCCCAGGGGTGGGGCCTCATTTTCTTTACTTAGATCCTCTAGTGAGTTTAGAGCTCATTTGGCCAGAAATTGTCTCCACCTGTCCTTCCACAGAGTCCTGCCCTGGCTTTCTGTCCACCTTAGTGCAGAAAACCCAGATTTCTGCCCGTAGATAGCACACACAATGTTATTTACACTGCCCTACCTCACAGGGTTTTTCTTTGAAGTGAGGTAAACCAGGATTAGAAGGAAGAAAACACATCTCTTCTAGGCTCTGTGTTGGAAGTAAGAGCTTTGATAGTGGTTAATAGTGGGCTGCCCGCTCCCTTAACAGTACAATGCAGTTCTTCTGAGTACTCGGGTAATTATTTACACTATGGGGATTCAGTTCATTGACAAACGCCCTGGAAGCTGGTGCTATACTCTAGTATGCCCTTTTTCTCTGAAGGTAGTTTGGGTTCTCCAGGGTTCAAGTTGAGGGTGTTTTACAAGGTTACCAGTGTCGCTGAGGACACCCAGCCACTGATACAGTTATAATGCAGGTAACAGTCTAGAAATGGAGGAATGTTTGTGGCAAACATTCCTCTGGACAGGATCTTGCTGTGTTGCTCATGCCCCAGCCTCAGCTTCCTGAGTAGCTGAAGTCACAGCTGTGCTGCCAGACCTGGCAGAGACCCGTCTTTGAGGATCTAGGACTCAGAAAGGTAATGTCTCTGGTTTTGACAGGGTAGTGTGAGCCAGATAAAATTTCTGTCTTTCTGCTCTGGTTTTTGATCGCATCCTGTGCCGCCCAGTATGGCAGCCATTACTTATTTTGGCTATTTAAATGTAAAACTAACTAAAATCCAGTTTCTCGGTCTTTTCATGTCTGGTGTTCTGCAGTGGTGTAGGACAGCACAGCCCCTCCAGGCTACAGAGCCGGGGATGTCCTGGTCACTGCGTTGCTAATGCTCCAAAGCTGACCCTTCCTGTCTCTTGGCAGCTGACCAAGAATGGGACAGTGGAGTCAGTGGAGGCTGATGGCTTGACACTGGATGACGTTTCAGATGAAGATATCGATGTGGAAAACGTGGAGGTGGATGATTACTTCTTCCTCCAGCCCCTGCCCACCAAGAGGCGACGGGCTCTGCTAAGGGCGTCCGGGGTCCACCGGATTGATGCCGAAGAGAAGCAAGAACTGAGAGCCATCCGCCTGTCTCGGGAAGAGTGTGGTTGTGACTGTCGGCTCTACTGTGACCCAGAAGCATGTGCCTGTAGCCAGGCTGGCATTAAATGCCAGGTCAGTCAGATTGGCCTGAGATGGTATATGTCTACACCAAGACTGGGGGTGTGGTGGGGTGCCAGTGAAGATAGAAAGCTTCCAGTCCAGGGATGGCGGTCCTGTGGCTGAGACTATGCTCCAGCTCCACATCTTCCCAAAGACAACAAGCAGGGCAGGATTCTTAGACTGTGGAGGTGCCCGTTATCTTCTGATGTATGCCTCAGAGGTGATAGCAGCTGGCAGCAAAGGAGAGAACGGGCTGGTATCTGCCATTCGCTAGGTGTTCCTTAAATGGTGATTCTGAAGGAAACAGAAATGAGGTAGCCCAGGGAGTCTCTGCTTTTTTATTTTGCTTTTTCGAGACAGGGTTTCTCTGTGTAGCCCTGGCTGGCCTAGAACTCACTCTGTAGCCCAGGCTGGCCTCCAACTTAGAGAGATCCACCTACCTCTAGAGTGCTGGGGTTAAAGGCGTGCACCACCACCACCCAGCTCAGCCTATGGATTCTTACCTGCACACAGCATCTCTTTCCAATATCAAAGTAGCTTTGAGATTCTCTAATTCAGGACCAGATCTGAGCTGGCAAAACTTAATCCTTAAGTATCTTCTTGGCATTCTAAGAGATTGTATGAATTCCTGTTTTCCTGGAAACCATGTTGTCCTACACCACTGCGGAACGCCAGACATGCAAAGACTGAGAAACTGGATTTTGGTTAGTTTTACATTTAAATAGCCAAATTAAGTACTACCCCAAACGGACACACGGAACTTCATGCTAAGGGCACGGGTGTTGAGCACTGGGGTTGAGACTTTTAACTCTTTGCCGTGGCTTTATTTAGCAACAAAGGTCTGGCAAAGTATTTCTTTCCAGACTGCAGTCCCGTGATGAGTCATTTATTCACAAACCTGAGAATAGTCTTATGAACTGGTGGGACTGGATAAAGATTCTTTGGGGTCTAGAGATTTCAATAAGCTGATATTACAGGACGTGTTTTATTGTCTGCTCTATAATTCTGAGTTTTATTTTGGGATATTAAGGGGAGATAAAGAGGCAGAAAGCATCTCCTTTCTAGTTTTTTTCTTTAAAACTGTGTAGACCAGGCTGGCCTCAAATTCACAGCGATTCACCTGCCTCTGCCTCCCCAGTGTTGGGATTTAAAGGCGTGTGCCACCGTGCCAGTACATCTCCTTTCTAGATAGCCCTGGCTGTAAGTAAATTACCTTGGTCACTGCTTCAGAACTACACTGGTTAACCTCAGGGAGAAGCAGGTGGTGAGGAGCTGGTCACAGTGTGAACCTTCACTTTAGCCCCTCAGCACTAAGGCACCTCTGTTTAGTTTCCCTAGAGTGTATTGCATTGACGTAGCAAGATCTCCACTCCCTTACCACGCCTGTCACTGCAGAAGGCTTGGGCCCAGCCTTTTATTGTCCCGTGAACCAGGTAAGTTCCGGAAGTCCCTGAGGCACAGCACTCTCTTCTACTCTGAGATGTCAGCATTCAGAGGTAGCACTAGACTGGCTAACTGGAAGGAGCCTTTGATGGGATTTTGTCGTTTTATTTAGAAGAGGAAACAAAGCCCAGGGGAGAAAATAGATGACTCTAGAATGCCGGCACTAATTAATGGCTGAGCTGAGATGTGGTGGTCTGATAACCACTGCCAAGTGCTCTTAGCTGTGCTGCATGTTACGCTTTGAACTGATCACTGCTCAAATCCCAACTGCCTGTGTGTGCCAGCTGATGTCACCTGCTCTGCTGTTAGAGCTGTTGGCCTTATCTTGCCACAACTTCCTGTGTTCCCTCAGGTGGATCGAATGTCCTTTCCTTGTGGCTGCTCCAGGGATGGCTGTGGAAACATGGCTGGGCGAATTGAATTTAACCCAATCCGAGTGCGGACTCACTACCTCCACACTATCATGAAGCTGGAGCTAGAGAGCAAACGGCAGGTGAGTCGCCCAGCAGCCTCTGAGGATGAGCCCTTGCCTACTACTGGCTGCAGCCTGTCTGGAGCCCAGAGCTCTGAGACCCAGGACTTCCAGGAGTTTATCGCTGAGAACGAGACCGCAGTGATGCACCTGCAGAGCGCAGAGGAGCTGGAGCGACTCAGGGCGCAGGAGGACCCAAGCGGCTCTAGCGCTAGCTTGGACTCGAGCATGGAGAGTCTGGGCGTGTGCATCCTGGAGGAGCCCCTGGCTGTCCCCCAAGAGCTATGTCCAGGCCTGGCCGCCCCCATTCTCATCCAAGCTCAGCTGCCCCCAGGCTCCTCCGTGCTATGCTTTACTGAGAACTCGGAGCACTCGGCTGCCTCCCCGGAGAGCAGTCCACCCTACTTGAACAGCGGTCCTCTGGTGTACTACCAGGTAGAGCAGAGGCCAGTCTTGGGAGGGAAAGGAGAGTCTGGTTCAGAAGAGGGCACAGCCTCCTTCCCCAAGGAGAAAGATCTGAGTGTCTTCTCCCTTCCTGTTACCTCGCTGGTGGCTCACAGCCCCTCAGACTCAGCTGCCCTCTGTAAACCAGAGGTGGGGAAAACACCCACTGTTGACAAACTATTGCCTGGTGACTGCAACCCTAAGGAGCCTGAGAGTGGAGACTTCCACCCCTCTTGGTCTCCCTCAGGCCTGCCCTTCCGAATGGACAATGAAGACGACTGTGGAGTGCAGAACTCCCAGCAGAGTGAGGACCGGACCCCTGAAGACTCTGCCCTAGAGCTCCCTCTGACAGTGTGACCTGAGATAGACACTGCTCATTCTCTATTTATTATCTAACGCCATTTCAAAACAAGACTGCTGCTCCCAGGTTGTTTTATTGAAAATCTTAGGAAAATGGGTAGGAAGGGGTTGTTAGTACGTGTCTTTTTTAAAAGGGAAAGAGACCAGCCCAACTCAGTTCCCAGGACTGAGCTCTCGGGGCTGCCAGAGCAAAGATGTCGGCCACAAGTGAGCTGGGTAGCTCAAGTAGCTCTTCTTTATGCATGGGGCCAGAACTAAGGATGTGAGCAGCTAGCTCCCTGCAGGGCAGCCCCTCCTCATCCATCTCGGTCTATCAGTCACACTGTGAGAAAGGCCACAGAAGAATCTCTGCTTCTGTACAAAACTCCCATCCTAAAAATTGACCCTGCTTTCTCCCACCTCTTAACTGGGAAATAAGTTAATTTTCAACATGTTTGGTGTTCCCTGACCTGCTCTGCAAACGGGATTCCTGGTCTGTAACTTGAATTCTTTCCTTCATATGTTCTTAGGTTCTAGAGTTAAACTTCTCTGCCTTTTCCCCATCTTTTCTCCTTAAAAGAAAAAAATCCAGGTTGGATATGGATATGGTACAGAGCATAAGTCATTAGGTAGAACATTCTGGAAGATGACTGTGCTTGCTTTCTCACCTAGTACACACACACACTCACACTCCTTTTGGGAGAGCTTGGCTCTAAATGGAATATAAAGTGTAGTACAAGGTCATCAGCTAGTTAGGATTCTCTTTCTCTATATGTACCCTTGTGGTCCTTGGTTATCTAGGGTTAGAGATCTTTGGATGTTACAGTTCAGTCCCGAGAACTTCAGGTTTTATTGGACCCCTCCATCTTGGAGATTTATGAAAACAAAGTCAAACTGATTCTTAGTATGTGACTTAGGACTCCCAGATTCCAAAGGATTCAAGATCTGATTATAATCTGGAATCTATAGACTGGGACTCAGTCTCAGCACTCACCTCAGTCAGAGTCCTTACTCCTCTCCTGTCTTAGTTAAAGTCCCCGGATCCCCATTCAGCACTGACTTTTTATTGGCAATGATCCCTCTGCCTCCTGGTTAAGTGGAGGTGGTAGGAGCCAAACACAGTTTTCCTCTATCATTCTTTACTAACCAGGAAAGAAAAACCAAACTTACTTTGATTTTTTTTGAGACAGGGTCTTGCTAAATAACCCTGGCTGGCCTGGAACTTACTTACCATGTAGCCCAGGCTGGCCCTCAGCCTGCGGCAGTCCTCCTCCTGGTCATGCATCCCGATTGCTGGGTTTGAGGTGCACACCACTTCACTCAGCGGTATTTATTTATGTGGGATAATAAGGCCCTGGTGTCGTAGAGTGAACTTGAATGTGGGTGGCAGCAGAAACACCTCTAACTCTCCGACCCTAAGCCTAGAGCTCCCTGTATTTGATACAGATCCTGATTTTTACCCATTCTGCCACTGCTATTCATTTCTGGGTTTGCTTGGTTTTATTGTTGGAGTTCTTAAGGAAGTACCTAGCTCTCTCTCCAGCCTCACAAGAGTTACCTTAAGTACCAGAGGCCAACATGCTCTCACCCTCAGCTAGAACTCTCAAACCCAAAACCAAAGCTAAACTGAGACGTTTACTGGTGGAGAGAAGAATCTTTGAAGGTTTGCTGGAAAGGATCAAGACTCCACCTCTGAGCCCCGGACTTGGGTAGTCATTAAGAAACATACTAGTCATTGTCACAAAGACCAGCCAACCCCAAGATCCTTGGTATTTCTGTATAACTAGTTTCTTATTCCTCTTCATTAATTCCATGTTCTCATTCAAACTGACCCCAAACTTCTGAGTGCTAACTATTTAGCATTGACGAATGTCAAGGACCTTTTCTACAACTGAGTCCATCAGATTTCTGGTGCTAACTGAGTTGGACAGAAATGATAGTTCCTGGTTGCTAGGAAGGCCAGGCCTCTGGTCACAGAAGCAGGACCGGTCCCCTCAGGCAGGCCTAGGTAAGCTGTGGCTCTTCACCACAGCTCTTGTGCACTGTGCTGTCTCCTGCATACTGTGCACAGGTCACGTTCTCAGTGTAAACCCAAAGCTTGTCTGGCTCTCTGAAAACAACTTCTCCCTCTAGGTTCTTTACATTGTAATAATGCTGTATTTAAAGAGAATATTTAAATGTAATATTAAAGAAATATTCAAAAGAATGGTGTGATACTACCTTCACGAGCTACAGCTACTTGTTAACTTCCCTTGCTGTGTCTGTAGGGCTGACTAGGTCAGTTAGGAACTGATGTCCGTGGTAGGACTATTCTGTGAGAGAAACGTAGATTCTTGTGTTTTCGCACCAGAACTTGCCCTGCCCGGATCTCCTTGTGCACCGCTGCAGCCCAGACAGCCTTTGCCTCTTAGACCTGCTGCCCGCAGTTGTGTTTTTCCTGCTAACCATGGCTGTTCTAGTGTGTCTGAGAGATAACATTAAACAGCTCCTTTCAAATTTGCTTTCATCCCATCAAAAAACTCTGTTCCAACCAATTACATACCCATTAGTTATGTTACATCAGTCTTATAAAAAGAAGCCTCGGGAAAATGAGTAAAGTGCGTAAGTAATTCCCAAAAACTGGTTTCAGGCAGTCTTTACTTGGTTTAAAAAACAGTGCTTCATGCATTTACAGTAAGTTATCGTAGATGTACACACAACAGCCAAGCCCAGTTTACTACCTTGATGTAGATCTCCTGGTCTCCCAGGGCCAGGCAGTAAGGAGTACCTTACACGACTTGACCCATGGCCTAGAGAAGGCAGCCACTGCCGGCTCCAGATGCTTAGTGCAACACAGTGGAGGTAGCAAACACGGAGGAAGGTCCTTAGGGGCTATGTGACAGACAGCCTGAAAATTAAGACACTGGGGGATAGGTGCAGGGAAGGGGCCGGGCAGCCGATCCTCTTCCTTTTCACCTCCTTTAGAATGTTCCCATAAATTAAGAATACTAAAGGAAGAGGGTGGACGGTCCAGTTAGTGACATGGAAAGTGCCCCTACTTTTGGTCACATCAAAAAGGACGGGCCAGGCCTAGTGGCTCATGCTATAATCCTAGTACCCAGGAGGCTGTGGCAGAGTTTTCAGGATTGCTAGGAATTGAAGGCTAGCCTGGGCTATGTAGTAAAATCCAGGCCAGAGCGAGACTCTGTCTCCAAAACGCCAAAATAAAAGGGGCAGGATAAGAAAAGACCGTCAGGGCATCTGGGTGCAGCCCAGGTGCAGCACCCCAGTCCAAGCAGCAGTGTTCTTGGCACCCAAACTCTCTGTGGAAAGGGCTGAGTGTCGAGCACTTGGCCAGCTCCTCACATCTCACAGAGCACTGGTGCTTCAGCTTGGATCCCAGCACGAGTTCAAGGCCATCCTCAACATCTCAAGAAAACCAGCAAAAAAACACCCTCACGGATATGAAGAACACGGCAGTGAGGCCAGTGTGACTTGGACCTGTAGCCTCAGCACCCAGAAGCCTGAGGTGGAAGGATCCCTTGAGCACAGAAATTTGAGGCCAGCCTGGGCAACATACTCATCTCAGGGAAAAAAAAAAAATAGAAATTTAAAAACAAACCATGGCAGTCATGAATTTTAGGCCAAATGATTCCAACCTGGGCAAAAACAGACTTAATAGGACCTAAACATTTCATCACAATAAAAGTCCAGTACCAGAGGCGCTTGCCAGTTCCAGGTTAGCATGACGGGATGGCACCACACACGTGTGTTTAGTTCAAGCTGTGAGGTTCAAGCTGTGAGGAATGGCTATAGCTCCCAGATGGGTAGCGTGCTGCGAAGCCCACAGAACCTGCTCTTCTGCCTCCCACACTAAGAGTGTACGGACTGCTGGCGGGTGCCCTTTGGTCCCACACTACTACGTTATGTGACTGCAGGACATCGTCCCTCTCCGTGGTTCACTCAGCGCCTTGTCTCAGGGTAGTTGGTGGAGAGCAGGACCACACTGTGCAGCAGGAGGGACAGCTCGGCCTCTGAAAACATCATCGGGGTTAGTGCGCGGCTAGAACACGGTTTACTTTTAACTGCCTTGAGTACAGAGCTTGACACCGGGTAGAAAGCCAGGGAGGGGAGCCTCATGGGGCCATTCTCTGCGAATCCCTGCTTCACTCCAGCCCCTGCATGTGCGCTTTTCTCGGCTCCCAGTATCTATGCACAGCTGCTAGGTGTTGATTCTCACAGGGTGTCAGTCACCATGTGGTAGAAGTTGGTGCTGTGAGGACATTTCTTAGCTTCGAGACTGCCTCTCACCCAGGACAATCCTGTCCCTTTCCTTAGCACCCCAAGCTCAGGCAGTATCTAGAGATACCTTTTGTTTGGCACCCTAGAGACAAAGGGCTGTGACTGCCATGGGATGGGGACAGGCAATTGTTAAATACCTTGTTGTGCATGAGAAGCCCCCCAAACAAAAGGCCAATAGTGCCCAGGCTATGAAGCTCTGCCTCAGAGCAGCAAGCAGTCCTTTTGTCTTACGCAGTCTGTGCTATAATAGACACTTGAGTTTGTGCCTGTTCAATTACAAAATAAATCTATGACAGAGAAAAGCTTCATGATACTCAGCACGTAATCCCAAAATAAAGTAGAAAAATGAGTGGGCATGGTAGTGCACTGCATATAATCCCAACATTCAGGAGGAGAGGCAGGAGGATAGCTGCAAGTTCAAAGCCAATCTGGTACATACTGAGTTCCAAACTAGCCAGAGCTACACAGGGAGACCCTGGTTTGGGGTTTGGTTGGTTTTCATTATTGTTGTTGTTTAGTTTGTTTTCTAAAGTTCAGATTTCAGGAGCACATCCACCGAGGTTTGCCTTACCTTCGAGGCTGCAGGAAATCCGCAACCATTCTCCCAACCAAGTCCGACACCTGTCCTCAGCAATATGGGTAGAACTCAAGCCACGAAGATAGCAAGCCTGCACCACTCAGAAGAGAAACATCCTTCATAATCATAGAATGCCACAGAGACAGAAAGCCACAAGTGATTGGACCTTTTGAGTAAGTTGCAACCTCATTCCCATAAGAAACCTTCACCATGTTGCTGGGTGGTGGCACACACATGTCTTTAATCCCAGCACTTGGGAGGCAGGAGCAGATGGATTTCTTGAGTTTGAGACCAGCCTAGGCTACAGAGCAAATTCCAGGACAGCTAGGCTACACAAAGAAATCCTGTGTCAGAAAAAAGAAAGAAAGAAAGAAGAAAAGAAAAGAAACCTTCACCATGCAATGTAAACTACAGATGTAACCAAACAGGCCTATCACCACATGTCCTGCCATGGCCCACCTGTTGAAGGCTTTGTGCCAGGTTAAAAACATGCCCCTGCTAGAGTGCTCCTGCAGCATGCTCAAGGCCCACAGGACACATCACAGTAAAAGCCTAGTACTGGAGACCAAGGCTTCAGCTCACAATGGAAGTCGGGGTCTGACTTCCTCTGGGCTACTGGAGGCAGGTGGTGGGAACTAAAAGATGAAGCCTAGAGAGGTCTGAGTCAATGAGCACATGTCCTTGAAGGGCACTGCACGGTACCAGTCTTCCTCTTCCTGTCTCTTACCACCCCACGACAGGACATGAACAGCTTTGCTCCATCTCATAGTCCCAAGATGCACTGCTTCACGGCACCAAAACCAACGGGGCCGACTGCTCAGGACCCAACCCTCCAAAACTGTGAGCCAAAAACAAAAAACACCACCTTTCCTCTTTTAAGTTGATAAGCTCAAGTATTTGTTACAATGGGAAACTGACTGATACATCTATATAATCTAAAATAACAGGCTTAAAATATACTGCCCTTGAATTTGTTCTAAACAGGTTGTCCTGGCGGTCCTCCCAAGCGCTGGGTCACAAGCTTGTTCATCATACCCTGCCCAGGGCCTTGCTTTTCTTATCTTTTTTTTAAAACTCATTCCCACTAGTTATGTACATTAAGGAAAAAAAATCCATAGAAATAAAATGAAAGAGCTTGGAGCCAGGTATAGTGACTCTGACTGTAATCCCAACACTTGGGAGACTGAGGTAAGAGGATTGCTTTAAGTTTGAGGCCAGCCTGTGCTACATGAGATCCCGGAGGAGCAGGGTGTCAACATGTCACCATGAGCCTGTGATCCTAGCACTTAGTTCAAGGCCAGCCTCATCTACAAAAAGTTTGAGGCCAGCCAGGGCTACGTAGTGAGATCCTATATAAAAACCACTAAACAACCCAGAAACAGCTTGAGTTTTGATACAAGCAAGACAAAGAGCCCAGTAAGCTTTGAGCCCACTCTGGGGCACTGCTTGATGCTGCAGTTAACTTCTTACCGATTTCACTTCCTGGGCAGTCAGCTGGCCAATCCCCAGCTTTGCCAGAGCCCTGTCCAGCTGGTGAATCTCAGTGGTAAGACTCTTTAAACGCCATCTCAACAAGGGGGAAGGCAGGTGAGGTGTGAGGAGCATGGCCCGGCTCAAGGCTCTCTGTGACACAGCAGGGTAGGAAGAATGTGAAATGGTTTTACTTTACAGCCTAAAACACGGGGAGCCTGTGGACACAAAAGGCCTCGGTGTGCTCACCATCTGCACAGCCTGGAGTTGATTCAAGCCCAGGGGATGAGTAGAGAAGCACTCTCTGAGAGGCAGGATGTCATGAGCTGTCGGATGGGTACCATTCCGCACCTTGTAAGAAGAAAGAAGTGGGTAGATTTTAGAGACCCTGATCAGCTGCTCCTAACCAGCTCTTGTGCACAGCGACCTCCCGGGTCCAGCTGGAGAAAGGCTTGGCTAAAGCAGTACCTTGATGCCCAGGTCTGTCAGATGCCACTGAAGCCTCTCATCGGAAACCAGAGTGCTGGCCCTTTCTAAGTAAGTGATGACTTCTGAGTGGGCCTGCTTCCGGAGACTGTGATAAATATCTAAGAAATCAACTTGTTGTTTGGGGGTCCAGAAATGCTTGACAAGCAGTTGCCTGGGAAACAGGTACCTACAAGGAAAAAGCATCACCAAGTCACTTTCCAAAAGTGGACTAATCAGGCATCTGGCAGAGACGTGCCTCTCTGCCCAACACTCTCTCTTCTGTGAGTCTCAGCCCACGTCTTGGCACCGTTGCAAGTGGCATTACTGAAATGTGGCTGCAGAGGAAGCCTGGGTGCAGCAGTCAGATAAAATGCCTCCGTTTGAACTAAAGCAGGTAAAGAACATTCTCAGGCAGGGCGGTGGTGGCGCATGCCTTTAATCCCAGCACTCGGGAGGCAGAGCCAGCCTGGTCTACAGAGTGAGTTCCAGGACAGGCACCAGAACTACACAGAGAAACCCTGTCTCAAAAAACAAAAAAAAGAACCTTCTCAGAACAGTTTCATATGGAGCTGGATGCTGTGCATGATGCTGACAACCTACCCCAGAACAGTCATATGGACACAGCATTAAAAAGGCCATGGATGTGCTCTGTAATTCAGTTACCCACATGTAAGGGGGCTTTTTAAACATGGCTACAAATCCTCTAGTGCTTCTTTCATGGGCAGGCAAGGGTTATTTCCCTCTTTTTTCCCCCACTCTGGGTGATTAATTCATACCAGAGCAGAAAAGAGTCGACAACCTCTAAGACTAAGATATCGAAAGCACAGGTAGGTGTTACGGCACCAAGAGAGAGGCAGACAGACCTTTGTGAGGTCCAAGACAGCCTCCATGGTGAGGCCTTGGGCTTTGATTTTAAAAAGTCACGTGCTCATTGACCCTCTCATCCCTGGAGCTCTGGCTGTGTCTAAGAAGTGCCACCAAGCAGGCTGCCAGCCTGAAAAGGCTGTCCGTCTCCCAGTATTCTCATCAAAACACCAGGCACAGAGTGACCTCAGGCCCTCCTCTGGTTCACCCAACAGCTAACTATCACTGTAGAGCCTGTTAACATCACCCAAGTAAGAAAGCCCATCACTCTCCTGAGCCCTATCCAAATACTTGCTTTTTTTTTCCTTCAGTTTTTTTAGACAGGGTTTCTCTGTGTAACAGTCTTGGCTGTCCTGGAACTCACTCTGTAGACCAAGCTGGCCTTGAACTCACAGGAATCAACCTGCCTTTGCCACCCTCCCACCCCACCCCCTACCCCTGGCCAAATACTTTCTTTTAAAGTCTTGTTTTTTTTTTTATTTTATTTTTGATTATGTGCATGTGAATGCAGATGTTCAGAGCCCAGAAGAGGATGTCAGATCCCCTGGAGCTAGAGTTACAGGCAGCTGTGAGCTGCCCAGCATGAGTGTTAGGAAGCAAACTGAGGTCCTGTGGGGTGGGGGGGGAGGGGGTGCGGCATGTATGTGTATGCTCTTAACTGCTCAGCCATCTCTCAGCCCTCTTTCCCTATTCTTGACCCCAAATCATGAAAAGATTGGTGATTTTCGTCTATTATGTTCTGCAGCTGACATTGTACAGCAACTGATAGCTGAATCAACATGCAAGGTAACAGCTTGGAAGTGTCATCTCTGGCTATGAAGTAATAAAGCCATGATATCAGAATATGAAAAGTATTCTTTTCTGAAAAACTTTCCAAAGTGTTGTTCCTCTTGCAGAGTGAGATGCTGTCTGTGGGGCAAGAAAGTATTAAGGTCACCTCACACACCCAGGGCCGCTGAGCCACCTGCACCTGTCCCTGACAGGTCACTGAGCAGTTTTTAACAACTTGGGGACAAGAGCTGGAGAGGTTCAACAGTTAGCAGCATTTGCTGTTCTTACAGAGGAGCCAGGTTCAATTCCCAGCACCGATATGACAGCTCACAACCATCTATAACTCCAGTCCAAGGGATCTGACGCCCTCTTCTGCTCCACAGGATCCTGCATGCATGTGGGGCATATAAGCTCACATAACCACAAATACATAAAAGACAAAAAAGTAATTTAAAAATAAATAAATAAATTTCTTGGCTTGTTTTTGTTTTGTTTGTTTGAGAAAAGGTTTCATGTAGCCCAGGTTAGCCTTGAACTCATTCTATAATCTAGGCTGGCCTTGAACTTCTGATCCTCCTGCCTTTGTCTCCCATGTGCTGAAATTATGTGCCACTACATCAGGCAAAATGATTTTTAATTCTTAAAAAAGATCTATAGTTCTGAGATCTAGTGGTAGTATGTACTCACATTAGCAGGAAGACCAAGTAGTTGGCAAAGGGTGGGATGGAAATGATGCCTATGAAAAGACACTTGCTGATATCTCGACGGAACTAGACAGAAATAAACACGGATACCGTGTTAACCCACGTAAGTTCCTGATAACATGGACAATCCCTCCATCCCACTCACTGGACAGTGAACTTGAAAAAGGACCATGCTTATTTCTATCTTCTAAATGGTAAGTTCCTGAGGGTAGACCTCTGATGTTAATTTTGTATCCCAAATATTGAGTAGAGGGCCTGACCTTTTATCAAACCCCGCAGTGAACTCTTTCTGACTTGCAGAACGTCTCCTGGACTCTTATCGCAGCTTCCAACTGCCTGTCACATCACTGCCAAACACCTCCGGCTGCCCTGCAGCTCTGTGCAGATCTTTGTATGTTCAAAACCAAACTGAATTTCATTACTCACAAATTCAATCAGAAGATGTGCCAGAAATTCTACATAGCCCTGCTGTGAAGTTCATTCTCAATGAACCCAATCCTGACAAACAGCTGGATGCCTCATGGCAAAGGGAAACATGTGACCAGTGATGAACAAGAAAGGAAAGAAACAAACTTAGGATCTCGGTTAATTACCTCACCACGAACTTCTGGGCATCTGTCCCTGGCCCATACCTGTCTCAAATGCTCCATCTCCCGGTAAGAAAGTTGATGAAACTTTATATTGTGCTTCCACATATTTGCCTTTATTCTTCTAGCCTTTTTGGCATCAGCCCATAACATCTGTATTCCTGCCCCATCAAAGCGGAGGACAGAACGCGATGTTATCCCAGTTTGAATCTTACCATAGCTTCCTACTGTGTTCACTCACATGCACACACTGGCCCCTCCCCAGCACTGCTACACAAAAGCCTTCAGCTAGGAAGGCTGAACGCCTCTGAGACCTCCCCATCCTTTTCCCCAGCATATTACCCAACCAAACCATGATCTGCCACAGAGTGGTCTCCTTTGAGCTCATTACTCACCCCTTGTTTTAAACTCTAGCTCCTTAACCCCAGGGCATCATGGTCAACTATGTGCATTAACTGTTTTCCAGTCAGATTAACTTGCTATTCTCTGGGGCATGTTTACAAATTGCATAATTTGACATACTGCTATGATCCCGTTTTGAATCTTCATTCCGTGATAATCCTTCTATTTATCTAGTTTTTTACAATGCTTCCAGGGCTAGAGAGAGAGCTCAGAGGTGGAAAACACCTACTGGTCTTGCAGAGGATCTAGGTTCGGTTCCCAGTACCCTCATGGTGGTTCACAACTATCCATATTTCATATTTCATGGTATCTAATGCCTTTTGACCTCTGAGAGCACCAGGCATGAACATGATACATATATACATGCAGCCAAAACAGGTCATACAAATAAAATGAATAAAATATTTTAATGCTTCCATTTTTATGAGCAAAATGTTACCAAGATTGGCTTCAAATAATACAGACTGTGTGTATTGTGTGTGTGTGTATATATATATATATATATATACATATATATATATGTATGTGTGTGTGTGTGTGTGTGTGTGTGTGTGTGTGTGTGTATGATTAGTGGCCATGAACTACTTTTGAGTTTCTAGTTTCTTGCTTTGTTTTTACAGGATCTTGCTATGTAACTGAAACTGGCCTGGAACTCCTGATCCTCCTGTCTTGGAATGCTGGGTTGTGGGATTGTAGACATAGACCCACCATGTCTGGCAAGCTCGCCATTCTCACCTCCACTTTAGATAAAGGTAGGTAATTTTTCAAGTCCATGAAGTTGATAATAATTATAGTAATATTCAGAGTTGACAACATTCTATTTTCTCTTAATTAGTGGGTAAAAGTATAGGATATAATAATAGTAATATGGGCACTTACTGTATAGATAACATATTAACATAGATCAGGCCCTGTTCTAAGCACTATAGTTAGATAGGTAGGTAGGTAGGTAGATAGACAGATAGATAGATAGATAGATTTAATCTTCACAATTAGGTATGGTGGCTCAGGCTTGAAATCCCAGCACTCAGAAAGCGGAGGCAGGGAGATCAGAAGTTCAAGGTCATCCTCAACTACACAGGAAGTTCAAGGCCAGACTAAGCTACATGACACCCTTTCTAAATAAATAAATAATATTCACAACTATGCAATCCCTAGGTAGGTTCTATTATTCTTGTTTTATAGATGAGAAACCCAAGAGACTGACAATTTAAGTCACTAGGGCAGGTGCACAGTCAATAAGGCACAAACTAGGATTTGAAACATGCATTCTGGTTCCAGAGTGACCAAGTGACAGTATAGGTATCACTTCATCGGAACTAGTGGACCTCCATTTTAAATCAAGTATATATAGTGCTATTTCCACTTCAAGTTACCTAAGCTGGCCCATCTGATAAGCATTTAGACCACATTTTCTTAGGATAACAGATAAATCACTGGGGCAGGTCTGCACAGCCACTGTTCCCTCCTCTTGTGAAGGACATGGAAATTACATCCACTCCAGTATTGTCAGAAGTTGTGCATCGTAACATCTTTCTAGATATTTACGAGGTTACAGCTTGTAAGAATTAATGCTCAAACATCCCAACTCATATCCCTGCAGCAGAACCCCGCAGTGATCTCACTGACTGTAACTCTCTAGCTGGTTGGGGGGACTTCTAGTTCAGTGTTTACCTTTCATGAAGACTGTGTATAAGGCATAGAAGCGGGGGAAATGCCGGCTCAAGAAACGATGGTATGATCCATTGATCGCTCTTGTCTTGGTCATCATGTAAGTAACCAAGTTCTTCACGTCCGCCTTTGGAGAAAGATGGAGCTTTGAAGACCTACAAGGAAGATCAAAGAGACTATCTGTGATCTAGCAGGAGCCACTTGGTCCCTGGGGCCCCTTACTGTAACATCAAGTTTCAGAGAACGATTGCCCAAACTCGAAAGCTCTGGACACCAGAGCTCTTGGGTCTGAGAGAGGCGGCAGGTCGGGCAGGAAAGTGATGAAAACGGCATGAGCATGGAGTGCGCGCAAAGCCCGTGGGGCCAGCGGCGGGCGAGCCAAGGCCCTATGGCAGACGGGCAAGGGAAGCCGAGAGGGGAGCTCAGGGTGCGCGGGAAGAGCAGACAACACGGAGCCGAGAGGGTCGGGGGTCCGCCTTCGGAAGGGAACCTGTGTGGAAAAACAAAACCCGGGGGGCGGAGGGGGGCGGCCAAGGCGCGGGACCCCGAGAAGCCGAGGTGGAGCCGCTCCGAGGGCTGCTACGTCAAAAACGCTCTTCTCTCTCCAGGGCCCTCACCGAGGGGCTCGCCACGCGGGGCCCGAGCGACCCAGCTGCAGCCTCCGGGTGACGAAGGGTCCGGGGGCGCCGGCCGAGCCCCACAGAGCAGCCCGAGCCCAGCACACCCTGGACAGCGCCATCTTCACGCCGGGGAAGGGCGCGGAGGGAGGGGTCGCCCCCGGGTCAGAGTGCGCCCGCCCCGCCCCGCCCCGCCCCGCCCCGCCCCGCAGCGCGCACGCGCCGGGCAGGCCGCGGGGCGCCCCCCACCGTGCGAGCCTGGGGAAGGAGGGGCCGCGCGCGCCCGGAGGACCCGGATTGGACGCGGCGCCGCTTCCGCCGGCGGGACCGGAAGCGGGCCGTCCCCCGGGAGCGCGGGCCCGGCCCGAGGGAGCTCTGGCTCGTGAGCCCGAGGACGCCGTCTCCTTGAGAGGCCCTCTGCCCTCGTCCGGTCCCCAGGGCCCCGGGGCTGGCAGGCGCTGCCCTTGACCTCTGCGGGCGCCCAGGGCGCCGGGCTCGGCGGTGGCGGGGTGGCCGTGCACACGGGGTGGCGGTGCAGACGGGGTGGCCCGTGCAGAGGGGTGGCCGTGCAGACCGGTGGCTGTGTAGACCGGTGGCCGTGCAGACCGGTGGCCGTGCAGATGGGGTGGCCGTGCAGACCGGTGGCCGTGCACACGGGGTGGCCGTGCACACGGGGTGGCCGTGCAGACCGGTGGCCGTGCAGATGGGGTGGCCGTGCAGACGGGTGGCTCAGCGCCCTCTGGTGGCGGCGGCAAGAAGCGGGACTGTCCGCTCTCCCGTCAGTCTGGCTGCCTGTGTGGACTACCGCGGAGGACATTTCACCTCTCTCCCTCCCTTCTTCCTTCCTTCCTTCCCTCTCTCCCTCCTTCCTTTCCTCCCTCCCTCCTTCCTCCCCTCCATCCCTCCTTCCTCCCCTCTCTCCCTCCTTCCCTCCATCCCTGCTCCACCCTCCCCTCCCCAGCCTTCTGGTCCTCGGGTGCCCTTGTCACATAGTAGGTGCGCAGTGACTATTTTTGGGTAAATGACTGCTGAGACAAGGGAGTGTTAACAGCGGTCCTGTCATGTCATAGGCATTTTAACCGACAGGGAGCGTGCTGAAGCCCGTGTCTGAAGTCGGTTTCAGCACTTCAGTGTGCAGTTTCCTGTGCTGTGTGCCTATGTTGTAAGAATTCTGTGAGGATCCAAGGATGAGAGATGTTGGCAAAAAGCTCCCACATCTGTAAAAATGTCTCAATGTTAGGAGGGGCTGGTGACGGTAATGCAGTCCCCAGGCTGTACTCCGCAAGTGCTGGGTAGATGAGGTGGGCAGGATAGGAAACTGACCAATGGTTTCTCTCCTTTCTCGGGTGGCTTCCAAGTCCTCGCAACTACTGTGGCTCCCAAGACTGTTCGGTTCAATAATAGCAGAACTCCCAGGAGAAGAGGGCAGGCGGGCGGAACACAGGCAGTTTTGTAAGAGAAATGCAAAGGCATTGCCAGGAAAATCAAACTAAAGGCAAGACATTTCGGGTAGTGGTGGGGCGGGGCGTGGGACGGGGTGGGTGGACGGGGTGGGGGTGGGGGGGGGATGGGGGGGTCCACTAGGTACAGTGCCTTGCAAGCCTGAGGACCTGAGTTTGGTCCCTGACACCCGTGTCTAAAGCCAGGCATGGTGGTGTGTGACCCACGCGGCACTTCAGAGCCAAGACTCTGGCAGGAGGAGCCCTGGCACTTGCCGGCCAGCCAGTCTAGCCAAGTTAGCAGGTCACGGGGTCAGAGGGGACCCTGTCTGGAGAGGATCGACAAAGGCGGTACAGACATGTATATATCCAGCAGCACACGTGTGCAAACGTACTCAAAAACACAAAAAGAAAATCCATGGCGGGGATCCACTCCTCACGTAGTTGTTTCCGGCCTCTTCCTTCTTTCCCCCTAACCCTCGCACACAGCCCTGTTGCTCTAACTTGTGTCTCTTCAGCCAGCTTCCCTGCCTATCCTGCCTTACTCCGTACTGTTCCGGTAGCCTCCCACGGATTTCTCTGCCATTTTCCCCTTCCTCTAGTTCCTCTAGGGAGCCAGAAAACACTTTCTTTTGCATTGTGTTTTGAGACGTGAGCTCAGTGTACCCACGATGGCCTTGAACCCCTAGTTCTCTTTGCATCCTCCCCAGTGCTAGAATTATGGGCATACAGAACCATGCACGGCTCAGAGAACACTTTTCAGAATAGTCTGTCAGGACTGTTAACATGTAATCCCAGCACTGTGGTCCCTCCCTCACAGTAATCCCAGCACTGTGGTCCCTCCCTCACAGTAATCCCAGCACTGTGGTCCCTCCCTCACAGTAATCCCAGCACTGTGGTCCCTCGCTCACAGGTAATCCCAGCACTGTGGTCCCTCCCTCACAGGTAATCCCAGCACTGTGGTCCCTCCCTCACAGTAATCCCAGCACCGTGGTCCCTCCCTCACAGGCAATCCCAGCACTGTGGTCCCTCCCTCACAGTAATCCCAACACTGTGGTCCCTCCCTCACAGGTAATCCCAACACTGTGGTCCCTCCCTCACAGGTAATCCCAACACTGTGGTCCCTCCCTCACAGGTAATCCCAGCACTGTGGTCCCTCCCTCACAGGCAATCCCAGCACTGTGGTCCCTCCCTCACAGTAATCCCAACACTGTGGTCCCTCCCTCACAGGTAATCCCAGCACTGTGGTCCCTCCCTCACAGGCAATCCCAGCACTGTGGTCCCTCGCTCACAGGTAATCCTAGCCTTGTGGTCCCTCCCTCACAGGTAATCCCAGCCTTGTGGTCCCTCACAGGAGGACCATGAGATTCAGGCCAGCTTGGGCCACATAGTGAGGTTTCTCTTTTCCTTTCTCTTCCCGTCTTTCTCTTCCTTTGCCCCCCTCTCCTGTCCCCCCCCTTCTCTTCTATTTCTCCTCTCTTTCCTCTTTCTCTTCTCTTTCTCTCTCATCTGTTTCTCCTTTCTCTCTCCCCCTTCCCTCTCACCACCACCCCCATACACACAGAGTTAAACACACGTGGAGTTTAAATGTTTTGTATACAAGAAAACTATGAATTCCCATAACACTTCCCCTTTTCTTTTTTTCTAAATAAGAAGGTTTTAAACCTAATACAAAACTGTACACAATAAGAACAATTATCAAGTATTATCCAGGAGAAAGAAAAGGTGATAAATAACCTATCCTGAAGGATCTAAATCTAGTACCTGATATGCTCTTAGCTAAGATACGAGAGGATTGTAACTATAACTATCTAGCCTTCAACCCCATTAAAGACCTGAGAAGGAAAAAAATACTACCTGAGTGAGCAGAAAGGGCAAGCAAGCACCTTCCGAAACATGCAAGGTATGACAGCTGGCTGCCTAAACCGTCACCCAGTGTTTCTCTGCAACGTTGGGGCATCCACTTTTGCCTACAGGCCTAGAATATCTGACAGACCACTTTGAGGAGCAGGAAATTTTGAAAGACTGTCCTACCCTGTCTTGGCAAGGTTCATCAGTCGCTTTTCCCGTTGTCCTGCTTGTCTGGATTAGACAGCATGCTTACTGTCAGCAGTTGAGGGAAGGGCAGTTCTTAGCCCAACAGGCCACTCATGCCAAGAAGAAGACAAATTCCATAAGGAGTGTCTTCGATGCCCAGCATCCTCTCAGAGTAGATCGGTGCTGCCAGGAGCAATTGTGTCTCATGCCAACAGAGTTCTAAGTTATTAGAACATTTAAATGCCGTATTCTCCAGGTCTATGAAGTGTTTGAAGATTATCTATCAACCTAACATGTATCTCTGTATATCTAGAAAATGTAGTGGCATTCCTGCTGAGCTCCTGGCTTGGCTCCAGTGAGCAGCACCTAGACCTAATCCTTCCTTTGTTTAACCACACCTTTTGTTTCTCTTACCTTTTGTTTCTCTTACTGCCCTATGTGAATCTTGTCTGAGAGTCAAGGATCAGAGAGTCCCCCAAGGATCAAAGGCCTATGCAAAACTTGGTCCAGGAAACCCAGAAAACCGAGGTACCTGAGAAATCAAGTAATTTGCACCTGGCATTTGGTCTCTGGGAGCTCCTTTTGGGTTGCTTTGAAGGTATGGAAATTAACTTTTCTAAACTATAAAAAAGAATAAATAAATATGTCCTAGGCAAAAGGTTAGTGCTTCAGTCCTTCGAGGCTGGACCCCCCCTGCAGCCATGATAAGCTAGATTCGTTCTTAAGATGCCTTTGGGAGAGGGAACATCAGTTGAGAAAATGCCCCCACCAGACTGGCCTGTGGGAAAGCCTGTGGTACATTTTTTTAAATTAGTTATTGATGTGTGAGGGCCAGGCTTATTGTAGTTAGTACCACCCCTGGGCTGGTTATCCTGGGTGCTATAAGAAAGCGGGCTAGCCCGGTGATGGTGGCGCATGCCTTTAATCCCAGCGCTCGGGAGGTAGAGGCAGGTGGATCTCGATGAGTTTGAGGCCAACCTGGTCTACAGAGCTGGTTCTAGGCCACACAAAGAAAACCTGTCTAAAAAACAAACAAACAAACAAAAACAAAAAAACCCAGGCTGAGCCAGCCATGAGGAGCAAGCCCGTAAACAGTACCTCTTCGTGGCCTCTGCTTCAGTTCCTGCTTCTCAGTTCTTGCCCTGACTTACAAAAAATAAACTGTGATTATGGAAATATAAGCAAAATATCCCCAGGTTGCTTTTGGCCATGGTGTTTTTATCACAGCAGTAGACACGCAGGCACATAAAAGACTGCAGTCAGATGGTTAAGCAATTGGTAGATAACTGGTATGGAGAAAGTGTAACAATGGTCTTACAAACTTTCCTATTGCAGGCCGCAGTGTCTGGCTTTTGTTTTTTGTTTAATATGAGATATAGATCTCTATCTATCTATCTATATATATATATGGTACTGCTTGGGAAAGGTGTAGCCTGGAACAATCTCAATGAGTTTTAGTTTTGCAAGATTGTACAGACCAATGGATAGAATCACTTAAAAATACAAATGAGAGGGAAAACAACAACAAAACCTAACTCATATTTAAAGTATTATTCTGAGACTAGCGTTGAATGCTAAGTGTTGTTAATAAGCCTTTTTAAACGCGGTGCAGGGCTGGGGAGATGACTCAGTACTTAAGAGTAGTACATTCTGCTCTTGTAGCAGCTTCTGCTCATAACTCCAGACCCAGGGGGTC